GTTGCTATCGAAAGCGCTGATTGTGCATATTTCAAAACCAACTTTCCCTTGACCAGGGTACGACTAATCAATATGTTTACTTTGCTTAATAAGCACGATGCTTTATTTTTGATACTTTTCACAAATACTTTTGATTGCTAACTTTTTTATTTCTTCTATTTGCTGCCTATTACAATTTTTCACGGCAAAACACCATGTGAAATATGATCGTAATGATGCTGAGATATTTACAAAACTCCGGACCGCAGATCTCTGCAGTGGGGAACGAACGCGCTACTACCATTTCCGGGGGTTAATGCGTTCACCACCACACCACACGGGCCGTTCGTTTCGCCTGTCTCTCAGCTAGTTTTCTATCGATCAGTGCCATCAACAATCATCCGTCAACAGGATTGATCTGGGGTGAGCAAATACTTGCTATTATACAACTATTATTTACACAATTTACTAATATTACTATTTATACAATATTAATATTGTAATTTCAACTACAGCTTTAATTTAATTGGGTTCAATGCCGATTTGGGCTTCCCAGATCAATCTCGTTGACGGGTGATTGCTGATGGCACTGATCGTATTTGAAGGAATATTTACGTCATTTTTCGAAGGAATATTAAAAGTTGTGCTTTAAAGGCAAGGGCTGAGTCGTTTAGTGTTGACCTAGTGATTCGCTGTTCATTGAAATCCGGCTTTAACACCGTAGTGTGCTTTAATGTGTCATGGTGTTTGGAGTATACAGCGACTCAAGGAGTGGGTGGCGCAGCGATAGTGATGCTGATCATCACGAACACGGTGTAGGTTGTAGCCTCCATGCATGCCGTGCCTCCCATCAGTTAGCTGTCACGAAATTTGTACAAACTTCTCTAGGAGAATTTCACTCTCTGGCGCTCAAGTGTAATCGCTCTAGCTTGGCCATCTCAGGACTTCGGAGAGAATCGATTCGATCATCAATCAACACCATGCATGAGAAATAAAAATCTTCAAGCAGCAGCTGAACACGCACACAGAAATTTAGAAGGCGTTGATGGGTAATGCATGAGAGAAAACGAATGGAAAAAGTGCTGGGATCCCCACAGTATATGTGGAGACAAGTCATGTAAAATAAAATGGAAAAATATGGTGAAATGCGTGGGCCTAATGTTGTATCAATTCTGTATTTTTATCCTCCCAAGGAAATCTGGTAGCAGTTTGCTAACCAAGGGGGTATGGAGGGTTTGACGAGCTTAAGGTGTGGGATCGAACCTATAATCATGGGTGCGTTGTAGGGAACATTGTTACACCAGCCCTCATGAGTACATGCTAAACATGTTTTGTGTAGGATTGGAGTTACGGGAAGCACTGCAGTGGAAATCTCTACGAAAATGGCTGTTGTTTCTTCAGGCAATTCTTGAAGGATTGGTTTTGACGAGAACGACAACGACAAGAATAGGCTGCCACGGGCAACATCATTTACATGGATCAAGTAGTTTGCCATGATTCGCTGGAAGCATGTGAGTATCTTAGTTTGAAATTGTTTTTGATTATTGAGTAAGTCATTAGACCAACTTTTTTCAAGTAAAGTTTTCAGACGAATTTTATCACAATAATGATTGAAAGGAAGTGGCTTCCTTTGTTGAAGTTAAGAAAGCAACATTAGTGGTTTTGAAAAAGTAGCAATAAAGGCTATGAAGGTAATCGTTTCGGATTTAACTAGTCACTGTGCACAGATAGCGGGTCGCCAAGCTTTGTCGTATTTGCTTTAACTTCAATGATGCTGAGATATTTGCAAAACTCCGAACCGCAGGTGTATACGGTGGGGAACGAACGCGCTATTGTCATTTCCGGGGAGTAGCGCGTTCACCACCACACCACGCGGGTCCTTCGTTCCGCCTGCCTCTCAGCTAGTTCTGTCGATCTTTTACCATCAGCAATCACCGGGATTGATCTGGGAGACCCAAATCGGCAGCGAACCCAGTTAAGCTGAGGCTTAGTTATAATCACAATCTACCCGGATGGTGTGGTGGTGAAGTGCGCTACTCCCCGGAAATGACAATAGCGCGTTCGTTCCCCACCGCATACACCTGCGGTCCGGAGTATTGCAAATATCTCAGCATCATTGAAGTTATATTTCACAATATATACCCTGCCATTACAAAGAGTAGGCAGGAAATAATAAGTTAAAATTGTATTTGCTTTAACTCTTTTATTTACTGCCTTTTTCTTCTTAATGGCAGGGTATGTTGTGAAATATAACTCGTATGAAGTGCTGAGATATCTGCAAAACTCCGGACCACAGGTGTATGCAGTGGGGAACGAACACGCGCTGCTCCCCGGTAAGGACAACAGCGCGTGTTCGTTCCCCACTGCATACACCTGTGGTCCGGAGTTTCGCAGATATCTCACCACTTCATACGAGTTGTATTTGCTTTATTTGTATTTTTCGAAAAATTTGTAGACATTTATTTTCTCCGGGTTCCTGGGAGTTCTAAATCATGTACTTATTAGCTGCGATTACGTCAGATATCCCCAACCTTTACTGGAAGCTTAATTTCTTGAATGATCCTTTCCACGAACCATGATGTGGGAAAACACAGCTAGTGCAGTTCCGATTTCACAAGTAACTCCATAGTTATGAGATTTCCTTTTTCTTGAGATTCAATATAGCCGGCCAGGGGCGTTCTCAAGTCGCCACCACGCGTAGTCGCCGAAATTTATAGATCAGAGGGATATTTGCTAACCTACCGCTTCGTTTCTTTAGGGATGGAGTTGATTTATAGGCTTGGCTTGCTCTTGACTTTTTTCACGTGGAAATTAAACTCATAAGCTAGGCGGAAATGGCGTCGAAATGAATATTTGCCGTAAAGCAAAGTCTAATCACAGGTACTTTCGCACAGCTACGACGAAGCGATTGACTATTTGATAGGAAAAGATTCAGCTCTCGACAGGAATTCAACAAAATCAATACTAAATATTACTCACTTACTTACTTGGATACTTGGATTGTCCGTCTCCACGAGTTTTGCGAATCCCAGCACATTTTCCATTCGTTTCTTTCCCTCGCAATTGTCGTTATAGTGGTGGTTTTACTCGAGCATGGTGGCGCATGCGAGTCTACTCTGATCTGTAAAGTAACTGCAGCTGTAGGTACAGCTGATTAACTTCGTTTACGAACACCTCCTCCTAACGTGAAGATGGCTGTCCTTGGGGACGCCTGCATTCTAGTGGGGTTCACTCTACAGTTCTTTTCATCCTTCTGTCGTTTGTTCTTCTCATTATGTGACCGGCCCATCTGTTTCGTTGTCGATGTATATTCTCCTGAATCTCGAAGATGTGACAGATTTCGAAAATCAGAGTTTCGCATTCCGGCTAGATATTGACAGTGCCAGTTATACTTCACAAGACATCGCTAAAACGCTCTGCGAGTAGTGCGGAGTATTCTTAACGTGGTTGAAGTATAAACCCACTTCTTTGCACCATAACAGAGTGCTGGGAGGACCGTTGAATCGAAAAGGTGAGTGTGGATTTTCGAATTCTTCACTAAGTTGGTGGCTTGTTTGAGGGACTCGAATGCGGCCAAGCTACTCTCTTTCTTCCGTCTAGTTCCTCTTTCATGCTTTTTTTTCATATTCACTGATCGCCTAAGGTATGCATACGAGGTGGTCTCTGCAATCAGAGAGCTATCCAGTTCAATTTTTTCGCGTTCGCAAAATGGGCTCTTCATGAACCGGGTCTTCTTCCGACTTATGTGCAGTCCGATCCTTTTTCCTGCTTCGTTGAGCTCGTTGTTCATCGTGTCTCCTTCGCTAGTACTTCTTGAGGAGGTGACGATGTCGCCGGCAAAACGAAGGTTTGATAGGAATATTCCATCAATACCTATGCCTATCTCATCCCAATCGAGTGACTTCATTATCCACTGAGTGCGGCACTGAACAGCTTTGGCGATATTGTGTCGCCTTGTCGAACTCCCTTTTCCTATGCGTATGGTAAGAGGTCGATGGAAAAGCTGTATTTCCGTAGTGCAGTTCCGATAACAGTCAGAGTTCTTATGTAAGACGGGTCCACTCCTTGATCGACAAGCGCTGATAGAAAAATCTTAAAAAAATAAATAAACCTTAAATCTTGCCAAATCTTAAATCTTCAGTCTTCAAACTTAAACCAAATCTTTAAAAATATTAAAAACAATTCATCAGTCCTAATGACAGCTCTGGCGCAGGCAGTGAGGCGTGGTTGAGTTGCCGCTAAATAAGCACAAGGTCTCGAATGGACCACTCCTTAGGTCAGCAGTGCTTTCCATCCCTCATCCATCAAGAAATTGATGCCAGACTTTTCTGAGAAGTTCTCTCCGATCCGCAAAGGATGACTCCTGTCTGTGCTAAATGCCTGGAGACGCCATAGAACGGCTATCCCAAGATTCCAAGGAGAATCCTTTCTCAGACGAACCGGCGTGTAAATAAGCACTTCCTCGGTGACAAATCCTAGAAAATGTACTAAACGAAGGAACTACTGGGATCCGCATCCATATATGATATTGGGCCATGTAGAAAAATGAAGGGGCGAATAGCGCAGTGGGAGTGATGTATGTCATCACGAGCATGGTGTTAGTTCGATTCTGACCAACCTCTGGTGGACAGAAAATTACCACCGAACTTGTCTGGGAAAAAACCACTGTGTGTAATCCAACTAGGAGCGCTCCATCGCGACTATCTCAGGACTCCGGAGGGAATCAAGCCAACCAGCATTCAACAACATTCATAATGAAAGGAAAGTCCTCGAGCATCATTCGAAGCCACACGTAAATATTGGAGGATCTCCGTGGACAGTGGATGCGAGGAGACGAATCGAATGTGAGAAATGCTGGGTTCTGCACAGTAGGCGTGAAGACGGGTCATATAAAATAAAACAAAAAATAAGAAAATAAACCGCAACTCTTGTGGTCGCGTCCTCCCACACTTTCATGACGAATCAATTTTTTTAGCTATTTTATTTAACCACCTGGTCTGCAAAAATGACTTTTTTCAGGTTTGTCGAATTGTAAAACCGGTGAATGTTTGTTCGTTAATATATGCAATGGAGTGGCAAATAAATTCACGTGTTTTCTTTTCGACTTCCGTTCCATCACGTTGGTTTTCGGTTTTTTAGAATTATATTTCGGAAAAATTAATTTTATTGGTCGTGATTCGAATGCTAGGCTTAAATGGTGAAGGATAACGAGTCCGAAGCTAAATACATCCCTTAGCGTTGAGCTGTGCTTTCCACTCCATCTGGTAATGTAGAGCTGATGTATCAAGACGGCGTTATCATCCTGTTAGACAAGACGTATCGCAATTAGGAATAGGGGTGAAGAGCTTGCCTTAGTCGGAACACGAGATCAAGCCCTCGAACATGTGTTTATTGCATAGCATCTTTAACCATCATGTTACACGCTCCTATTAACTCGTTCTTGCTGATGTGCTATTATTATGATTTCTAGTAGAACTATAAAAACAGTCCATGTTGTTTAGATGGTTGATGTTTGGTTGCTTCCTACTCGTACTGTGTATATGCTCCTCACTGGTGGCTTGCTATGCCTGTCGAGCCATTCGGGAGTCATTGAAATGGCAGGTGGTTCACACTCCTAACCGGGATGTTGTTTTCAATCATTCAGGACCAATTCATTATATTCACACTCCTACCACTCGGGCAACGGCGCCGAAGCATCCATACGGCACTAGACGCTAACTACATTTCACTGCTTCGTTCATGTGTTTGGTCAATAATTTCTTTGCATCACGATTACTGTAATGAATTATAAGACTAAAAGAATGACCTCCATTGTCATTCCAATGTGCGAGCAATGTTACCAGAATTGCGGCCTTTCAGAAATACTTGCAAAGCAGCTACAATTTCTCCAGTGCGGTCAATTTCGTCTTTTATTGTAGGCTAAAGTCTTTTATTCTTGTGATTGTACTACCCTCACATCGAAGTAGTAGAATAGGGGTTGATTTAGGTAAAACCAGACGGACATTGTGAATGAAACTTTATTTACTGGAACATTACTGTTCTCAAAAACTATAGAGGGTGATTCTTTCTATACGTTATCTAAATATCGTAGGTGTTATTTATCCATCCATCCATCTCATCCATAGGAACGCTTCTTTTCATCATAACAAGAAAAAATACAGTAAATCATGAACAGTCGCAAATAACATCTCAACATTAACTTTATTCAGAGATCAGATCAATAAATCAGTTAAAAAACGGGCTTCAAACACGAAAGCAAATCAATAGATGAATTGACAAATGCGCTTCAGACACGAAGACGTCTCTCGTTTCGTTCTGCAATTGTACGATGGGCAGTGCTACGTGGGCCCCAGAGCTCTCCATCCGGAATAAATAACCGTTTAAAATTCAGTCTATAATAATAGCAGGAAAATACCTGAAAATTAAACAATAACGCTGTTCTTCCATACTGAAGAGTCAGAAAAAATTGCATCTAACAGCGAGTAAAATTGAAAACAAAATGACTGGAACATTGTACAGTAATCAACACTTAAACTGCATAAAAATCGTTGTAGTAAGCATTATAATTGCAAGGGAACAATATGAGGAGTCTTAACTCTTTTATTTACTGCCTTTTCCTTCTTAATGGCACGGTATGTTTCGAATTATAACTGGTATGAAATGCTGAGATATTTGCAAAACACCGGACCACAGGTGTATGCAGTGGGGAACGAACACGCGCTGTTGTCCTTACCGGGAAGCAGCGCACTTCACCACTACACCATCCGGTCCGGAGTTTTGCAAATATCTCAGCATTTCATACGAATATGAGGAGTGTTGGTTGGATCTTTAAAACTCGGAACTTAAAGAAATTCGAGTTGGATTTTGAAACCTCTCAAAGTTCTTCGATAACACCACAATATCCATCTATCGAGAAATGAGTGTCCAATGAAAACGCTACAGCCGGTTCACATTACACTCATTAATAAAGTATACTCTTTCATTGATGTTTGTGAATGAACACATTCTTTCCTCCGACTCATCCCACTGGTCTTCATTGGCGCTATGGTCCGAAATCTCAGACTTGGGTAACTACAATACTACCGCAACTACGACAGCAAAATGAAACCAATATGCAAAGATAATGTAAAGGAAAGCAGTTACTTGATAACGCGAGAGAAATCTTTAATGAATCGATGAAGCAGTCTGGATAACGAAATAAACATAAATTAACTCATAAATCTTATACAACTAAGAAGAACTATGGCCAGTTGGAGACGTAACACGACTGCATTAAGAATGGTTTCATCAATTAATAGCAACCCTTATAAAAATTTGGGTACAGGAAGACACAATGGAATATTTCAAATTGTTTTTCGATGAAAATCACGAAGTACATGAATAGTACAACGATGTAAAAGAACATGAAGAAGGTATGTCATCCAGAGCCACTGCCGTTCAAGTGATGTGGATGGAATATTCACATCTTTAGCCAAAGATGAGTGCTAGCTTATTATGAAATCGATACACATATGATCAAGGACCTGTGAGGAGAGTTGCAAGTGAAGTGATTTTGTAGCACATTAGATGAGAATAGCGTACATGGTATAGTATACAACTGATACAAGGAATGTGTAATAATACGAGAATACACAGACTCTGTAAGTACTATTCGTACAGAGCACTCCTCATTACATTACCACACATTTCGCACGTTAGTTGTAGGGTACTTCATGCATATGACATGTCTTTTCAGTGTAATCACTATGCCTATGTAATCAACCCATTCACAAATTTCGCCCTACATTAACACCTAGATTTATCAGTAGTATTTTTATGACATATTCTTTCGTTTTCACAATACTTAATGAACCTATTGCAGAAGCTTCTAGGTTACTATTATTGCAACTTGCTTCTGCCTTTTGATCACGTTAGTGTATATCTTGTCTATACACTTGTGGTTGCGTTCATTACAGATTTTTTAACAACATTTACATAATAGTTTAATTACTCAATTTTGAAGTTCAAACAGCTACATTGACAAAGGTCTCGCATGGCAACGCAAAGGATGAGCAGACACCACTCGACTAGCCAATTTACACTATTCTATGTCAGGTAAAGAATACGCTACATACTACTTTTTATTCTCTCACTTTTGTCGCTTTTTTCAGCTCTTTATTTCTGCGCTTTTCTTCATTTGTAAGTCATTTCCGATAATAAAAGGTTGAACAAACCTTATATAAGGCACAAAGAGGTATTGGTGATAATAAGATGAACATAACTACTTTATCCCTACCATCAAAATTAGTGGCCGGATGCTTGATGCTTAGCATAAGAGTTGCCTAGAATACTAATTATTAAATTTTTCTTTTTAATCACATTTTGCTTTTTTATAAGGAAGAAAGACAAGTCTGCTCTAAAGTGCAACATTTAGCTGTCCTTTCTCCAACTAGGAACCCACACATAAAACGATGGGAATCACTCCGGTCCATAAAGCTGTTGCCAACAAGTTAACCAAATATTCGATAAATCCAATTTGTACTTGCACGGTCTGAAAGACAAACCATTTCCGTTTCAAGCAAAATTTAGAAGGTTCCAGATCGATTTTAAAAAAGAAGAAGACCTATTTCCATTTGAAGTTTTGAAAATTTAAAAACAAGAAAACAAGAGAGGCATTTGACCGAAGCTTTAGTAAGATTTCGAATTCTTAAAGGGCTATAGGAAATATGAGGTAGCAAGGATAATCGACTCGACTAGCATTCCGCAACATCTGTAAAAAAAATAAATTCCTCAACCGTCAGCCGAAACAACTTGCGAAATGCTCGAATAGCCATGTGGACGATAAATGTGATGACGGATTAGGTTGAGGACCACACTACCTAGTTAACGCATTCTTTTAACAGCAATGCGTGTTAATTTGCATACCACCGTACTCCGGACCACACGAAATTCGGCTTCTACATCGTCCTTGAGCGGTCGGTTACTTTTACATTCCTAATTTCGTTTCTGGTTTCGGTTTTAACATCTCTCCGAATCAACTAGTAGGAAGACAGAGCAAAGGATTCGTCGAAAACAAACCTCCCTCTGATCCACATCGTGGTGAGGACCTGGATACGCCCTTGCAAGGCTACGTCAGGACTCCAGGGAGGACCAAGTTGCACGACCAGCAATAGGCCACCATCAGTATGCCGCACACTGGGTGCTTCCATCTATGAGGTCAGGCAGTGGGGCGACCGGTGAGAGGCCAGAAAATTTTGGGTAACGCAGGACGTCATTAGAACAGGAGCTGACGAACACACACACGACACGCCATGGAAGTTGTCCCTTACTATGCACCCATAATTCCAGAACACTCTCCACAGACGCCCTTCTCGTAGTCGCAGATCGCGTTAAATCTCGTATAATCGCATTACAAGAAACAAAGATCAAGAAGACCGACATACGCCAGGTAGACAACGGCATCCTCGTGATCCGTGGAGAAGGGGTCCCGTCACGAAATGTCAGTGGCGTAGGCTTTTCGTCAACCCGTCCATTGTCCATCTCGTCGACTCATACGTGATCCTTTACTCTGGCATAGCCGTCCTCAGTCTTCAACTCTCGCATCATAGGAAGATCACTATCATCAACTGCTACTCATCGACAGACGCAGCTGATGAGTACGAACTAAATGCGTTTCACTGTCAGTTGGAGGAAATTATCCTCAATGATAAAGCATATCATAAATTTGTTTCTGGAGACTTATACGCCAGAATAGGAAAGGTCAACGAGAGCGAATACAGGATCGGAAATTTTGGATTAGGAGAAAGAAATGAGAATGGGAACTGTCTCGCAGGACCCCTGTCAGCAGCACGTCTCTTCCATGGAAACTCGTTTTTCCAGAAGAAAGAAAACCGCCGCTGGACATGGGAGTCTCCCAACGGCATAACTCATGCGGAGATCGACCATATTCTGACAAGCAGAAGATGGTGCCTACTTGACACATCGGTAGCCCCGTAATTCTGTACTGGTTCCGATCACCCCCTTCTTCGCGCGAAGATTCGATTCAGCCGCAAGTTGGAAAAGAACTTTCTTCATCGACCGCGAGGTAAAAGTTCAGCTGTATACGACGAGAACCTTCTGAACGAAGTCCTGTCCAAGCGTGACTGGCGGATTAAAGAAGACACGACCGAAGACTACGAGCTGCTTGTCGAAGGACTGAAAAGCTGTGCCGAATTCGCCTCAGTTCCTCAAGCAAGAAGATCGGATCGCATCTTCATCACTACTACGGAGTTGCTCGAAAAGAAAAGGAAACTGAAACTTGATCCTACTGCAACACGTTTAACATGACTAGTAATAAATGCCAGCTGCAGAAGAGCTTTGCAGGAAGATCTACAACGGCATAAGCAGAAGAAAATACTGGAAGCAGCAAAGAAAAGAAGCAGTCTGAAAAAATGCCGTCGATACTTGTGTGATTATAATGTTCCGCTGTTAGTCCTGATGAACGAAGACGGGATCGTCAAAAACACCCGTCATGACATGGAATTAATAGCGGAAACGTTCTACACCAACCATTTCCGTACCACAATCCCCGTCCCTGGCCCTAATATTCTCTCTGGAGAAAAACCAGCTGGAATTCTTCCGTCGGAGGTTCGAATTGCGATCGAAAGCATGAAAAGAGGCATAGTTCCACGACCTGACAATATTACCACCGACTCTCTTAGAGCTGGAAACCGTAATTTACGTGTACTTCTCGCAAACCATATGACAGCCAATCTCCGAAAGGAAAAAATTCCAGACCAGTGGAGAACGCCAAGCACGGTCATCCTACCTAAGGTGACCGAAGAGATCTTGGTAACTCATCCGATATGCTTATTGAGTGTCCTCTACATGCTCTTTACGAAGATTATTTTCTCGCGCATATCAAGGACATTGGATGAGGCGCAACCAGCCGAGCAAGCAGGATTTAGAAAAGGGTTTTTCCGCATGAAACACATTCAAACCGTGTCCACGGTCATCGAAGTTTGTCGAGAATACCACTTGCCTCTATTCCTAACCTTTGTCGATTGTGAGAAAGCGTTTGACAGTGTCGAAACGAATGCAATCCTATCGGTGCTCGTCGACCCAGCAGTGGACCCGTCCTACGTAAGGACTGTCCGACTGCTATCGGAACCGCGCTGCGAAAATATAGCTTTCCCATCGATCTCTTACAATACCCATTGTAAAAGGAGTTCGACGAGGCGACACAATATCGCCAAAGCTGTTCAGTGCCGCACTGCAGTGGATAATGAAGTCACTCGATTGGGATGAGAAATGCATACGTATTGATGGAAAATTCCTGAAAGCTTCGTTTTGCCGACGACATTGTCATCTTCTCAAGAAGTACTAGCGAAGCAGTGGTGATAATCGGCGAACTCAACGTAGCGGGGGAAAAGATCGGACTTCGCACAAAACGAAAGAAAACCCAGTTCATGAAAAACCTATAGTGCGAAGGCGAAAAAATTGAAGTGGTTGGCTCTCTCATCGCAGAGACCACCTCATATGTATACCTTGGGCGATCAATGAACATGGAAAACAACATGAAGGAGGAACTAGATAGAAGGAGAGCAGTTTGGCCCGCATTCGGGCCTCTCAAAGAAGCCACCGACAACCGAAGGACCTGAAAATCCGTGCTCATCTTTTTGACTCTACGGTCCTCCCAGCGCTCTGTTATGCTGCAGAGACGTTGGTTGATACCTCGACTACGTCAAGAACACTTCAAACTACTCACAGAGCGCTTGAGCGATGTCTTTTGAAATATAACCGGCACTCTCAATATGTAGCCGTAAAATGCGAAGCTCTAATCTTCGAAATCTGTCACATCTTCGAGATCCAGGAGAATATACATCGATAGCGAAACATAGATGGCCGGTCACATAATGAGAAGAACAGACGACAAATGGACGAAAAGAACAGTAGAGTGGACTCCAAGAGAATGCAAACGTCCCCTTGAACGACCACCTACACGTTGGGCGCACCTGTTCGTAAACAGTGTTAATCAACTGTACCCGTAGATGCAGTTGTTTTACAGATCACGGTATAAAGCTCACAAGCGCTACCATGCTCGAACAAGACCACCACCATGGACTATGATTGCGAAAGAAAGGAACGAATGGCACATGTGCTGGGGTCCGCACAGCTCGTGATGACGGACCGTTCATGTATCCAAGTAAGTAAGTAAGTAAATGTGAGGACAAAAGAGCCGAATGTGAGAAATGCTGGAATTCATACAATATATGTGATGGCGGGTTATGCAGTGTAAAAAAAGTAGGTAGAACTTCGAATTTTCTCACGAGGATCTTTTGTCATATGTTATAAGGCCTAGATGCACGGCTCTTTTTCCTGTAATAAACATTTCAGCTGTAGAAATTGAATACTGAACAACATCACACGGTGTGACTGGGAAAAACAAATAGAGAACGCTAGTAGGACGTTCCACCTTCTACACATTTTAGTGAATACACCGGCTTTTTTTTGAAGAATTTTTTCTCCATAAAGAAAAACATTCCGTCTCAGTCAAATCCTAAGTGCGATGTTACAAACCGACAAAGAGTTCGACAATTTCATCTGGAAGCCCCAACAAAGGAAATGTTCTGCCAGGATTTGCTTCGCGGTTTTGCTAAGACAGCAGTAAGTCGGAACTAGAATGAACCAGAGTGCACATAATTCTTTCACGAGTACAAGCCATTCATGTACATAACTAAGAGTATCTAGTTAGTTCAATTAGTCCAATTCATAAAAAGTCAGGTAGAATATATTGTTAAATAAAAGCTATGGCTGCTTACTGCTTTTCCAACTATCATTGTGGTGACGTTGCAGAAAAGTCGCTTAGTTCCGTATAAGACAACAATGACGAAAAGCTCACACAGCAATACAACTAGAGTTGCCATAGGCAAGACGTTGGTTGTAAGACTGACTTGGAAAAGATAACAGTCCTGTAATAAACCTTTTTATGAATACCATCTATAATTCACCAATCTATTCATTACATATCGATTGGCGATACGCTCGAATCGATATGTACGCAAACCATGCCGTTTTCGATGCCTTTCGGCGTGGCTTGGGAAAAAACGTAAATAGACTGAACAGAAATTGCAAACCACTTTCAAATGCTGATGGAAACGTGTTTGTATAATGGGGCCATAGTAAGACATAAATCAGCAAGTCAACAACGACATGAAATAATGTGTCGTTCCATTTACACACAAAGTGAAGCACCACCAGAAGTTCGTTAATGAAGCATACAAATTTCATGAAGAACGAGAGAAAAACGAACGGGACAACTGAGGAACAGTGTGAAAAATGACACCATGAGACAAACGACAAAGAATAATGCGCTTCTGGTGTCATTGCTGGGCACAAAGCCACAATATTCCATCACTACTGAGCAAAGCATCTCGATACGAATGAACTGAAACAAATTGTTGGATTAAGAAAAGAGGTCGATTTGGTTATTCATTAACTAGAGCAGAAAACCCAACTTTGCTCGCTATGGCGGATAAAGCTCCAAAGAGCGCCATGAGTGTTGTAAGCGGTGCGTGAAATATATCGAATATTTCGAACGACCCCAGGAATATTGAATAGATTTTTGAACTGGCGCGATTAGCTTTCACCGTGTAGTTATTCACACTTGTATCTTAACAAATTATTTAACAACATTGATTCCTTATTTTTCTTCTTCGTTTGTTTCTTATTCCTTCTAAATTCAAAAATGAAATCATGAGAACAATAAAAATCGGAAAATGAACAGATTTTGATTACATGCACGAGAAAATATTTCGAAATCGCCTTGAGCCATCTGTAAAATAAATGAACATTTCGTCAGCATATGGATCATTGCATGGGAGATGAAAATAAAGCTCGTCAGTGAGCTGATCACCATCGCATCACTGAAAACGTGCTCCATTAGGGAATTTCACGCTCCAATCTGAACAAGAGAGGAAAAGATTGCGCAGCTCATTTCCAGTAGCGTGTTCAATTTTGAGACTGTGTACCTGACTTGTAGAGGGTGACGAACACCCTATATTCCATTTTACAAACTCATAACGGACTGTTACTCAGAATGTTAGAAAATGCACGCAGGCAAATTATGCTACTCTAGAAAATCTTTTTAGAGACAGTAAGGAACTAGTTTGGGAGTGTTATAAAGCTGCCTAATTTGTTATTAGGCTGCCAGCTATTATGTGTTATTCAGAAATGTTTGTATTGCAACAAAGGACAAGAGTGTTGTTTCTCGAAATCCGTTCAGATTATTAGACTTCTATTGCTTTATTTCATTGATTCACTAGCATATCGAGCTTATCATTCCGTCGATAATGCACTCCAATAATGCTTACGTGACAAGATCATTAAAAAAAGGATTCTGCATTCCAAGAAAAATCACACCACCGTATCCAAGTTGAAGGATGGTACACGCCTAGAATGAAATATTTGAAATGACATTTTAGCGACAAGAAAAGTTTGGAAAGTGAGTAGCATCCTCATGCTCGTTTTAGTACAAGTTCTGATATTTTCACCGTAGTTTAGATCATCGTATAGTGCTCTAATGTAATTGGGGTCGTGTTGCGCTGTGGTTAAAGGTGCCCTGCAATAGATAAGTGGTCGTTGGTTTGATGGTAGACACCTGGATCGTCTAGTCTTCTTTCTCTCCGTGCTTGGCAAACTGATACCGTTGTTGTATGGGAGAATAACAGCATGGCTTGATAAATCGTAAGTTGCGGCAAGTTACTGTACACGCAAGATATGCATTCAATCACCTTTAACGATACTTGGTGAAGTTGAACGCATGGCGCAGCCCTCAGGATTTCATCAACGCCGAACGCTTTGTTCTTTCGTCCTTTTATCAATGTAGATGCAAACAAGGAAAACAAACGAAGTAGAGATAGAGAGTAGATTTATGTCGCAATCTGTAACGTCTGAACACATTCACCAGAAAGCTAAGTCTTCGATGGCATTAGCATGAAATGACGCAATATGCGTCACATACAATTATTTAAGGTTTAATGGTTTCTTATCGACGGAAGAAGACATCAAGTCTTTCTAGCAATGGTCTATGCTCTCATATTTTTTTCCCAACATTGTCAAGTGTAGAAAGTAGCCCTTCACAGACGAAGGGTGTTGTGTAAAAACGTGTGCGGAGAGGAATAATTAGAAAGAAAGTTTACGTCGATATCGTGCTTATCTACGTATGCATTGAAACCACTCTTCGTTGTCTCAAAGGCGTAAAGACTTCCACTACTCTTCAGGTGGTAATCTTACTTGGATAGTTGGCCGACCCGTCTTCATGAGTCTCTAGGAGAGCAACCCAGAGTTCTTCAGAGGTTAAAGTGCTAAACCAATTCACTGTTACATAATACGGCGCTAGGAGAAGCGCTGAGCTGGAGGTGAGAGTTCACTTTCGCGCTCGTAGTGGCTGCTGGGCTGCTTCTGTGGTAGGTCCGAACGTGACCCGTGTTGCTTGTTCTTTTGTGTAGTTCCTTCACAATGTTGTTCTCCATGTCCACTGAAGGCCCACTGTGCGCGTGTGAGGTGTTGTCGGTATTTAGCGAACCATCCAGCTCGATTTGTTCACTTTCGAATAAGGAGGTTTTTATAAACTGCGTCATCTTTACCTTTATGCACAATTCAATCCTTTATTTTTTGTATTCACTGAGTAGTGCTCGTCTTTTACTTGTACTTTTCAAAATGATGGCGATGTCCTCAGTACAGCGAGAATTTGGTAGGAACTAGCCGTAAATGCGCATGTCCTTAACGTCCCAGTCGAGTGTTATAATGAAAACTAAAACTAGAGATCCACTATTTGACCACTTTCTCAGCGTATTTAATAGGATATCGATAGAGGAGCGGTACCATCGTAATGAAGCTATGCTAACAGTCAGCTAGAGTTCATATACGAAACGGGACTACGCTTAGTCGAAGTGCGCTGATTGCTATGCATACGTCTCAAAGACACAAAGCGTCCTTTCGTTAGCTATTTCTGTTCGCAACGACGTTAGCAAAGGTCTTCTGCAGCTGACATTTATGAGCAAGTGTCTGACACCTGCTGCGATGCATCCATGCCTAAGTACTCTTCCTTTTCGAACAACTTACAAGCAGTGACATATACGCGACTCGAAATTCATTCTCAAGGAATTGGGGAGAGTTGAGCGCAAGTTTTTAGTCTTTCCAAAAGCTGTTCGTGAATTAGGTCTGGTTTCACCTAATATGCAAGTTATATGAAGAAAGGATTTAGCCTAGAATATTCTCGTATGTGTGATTTGCGTTCTCATTCTTAGTCCATAAAGTCTTCTTTTCCGACTTCTCGTCATTGTGCATAGTACTGAGATTGTACCATTGCTGTTTGACTCGATTGGGGTGTTCTGGTGGTCGAAAGCTATTTTAGCTGGTTTCCTCAGGTCGTCACCACAACCAGTCGTCCGCCTTTGGTGGATCAGAGAAAGATTTCCCACTTTACGACTAGTCTGATACCAAGACGGCGGTATACCCAGGTATTTGTTACGTTCATCTGTGCTTTCGGATAAATTCCGAATTCCTTTTCAATGTGAAGAGCTTGTTGGTAGATAAACCTTCTGCGTTATGTTGCAGTTTTACTCCCAGGGACTTCCCACTCTATTATTAGGGCGCCGAAATTGTAAGCTGTTAAGTTACCAAATTTCGGAAAATCGCTTTCGCTGTTTACATATTAAAAGATGGCAAACCTTAAGCGAAGGAGTAAGTAAATAGGTAACTGATCCCGAATATAAAGATTTGCTCACCATTACAACAGCATCAACCCACATTGCCAATCCTCTCTCTTGTTTGAAATTGACAGCGTCAAGGAATGCAAGTGCCGGATATTTTGGTGGATTTAAATGAACGAAGACAAGAACAATCATAAACGTCAGAAGAAATATTATCGACATACAAATGTAGCTGATCTTAAGCAGAATTATAGCAATGCTTGTGGCGAAATCGTTAGCAGTGGTGACATTTACTTACACTCTTAATGATGGCTTGACGGTTTGTGGCCAGTAAGTGGGCGATTCCGAGAAAAATGATGACGATCCAAGCCATGAATACCGACGATGGCCACTTTGCCACTGTGAGCGTGTAGAAGTCGGAGTAACGGGCGAGACTGAGAATAAAAATGTGCGAAAGTAGAATGAAAAAGAATAGCATTATGGTTATACCACATCGCAGCTCCTATCTTTTCTTTTTTACAATGTCGACTTTAATCATTATTTCACAAAATAACATTGTAAACACCCAATTTGGCCTTTTTGTGTCAAGACTGAGTGGTGACAATCCGAATTCAAGTATTACCACGTAAATTCTGACCCAAACCCGAAGTCTGACAAACAGCAAGTCAACGATACATGTGACAAAGGAGCTCTCAACGATTGCACGGTATGACGTTTAATTAGTAGGTTTCCCCGATAAAGATGAGTACTTCCGAGGCTGCTTACTAGTTGCACGGACGATGACCCCACATGACTAGGTTGTTCCAAGCGGATTAGTCTACAAAGACCTTACAGGAGTACCAATTATAGATAAAGCAACAGCTTGAGAAAACACTCGTGCTGAAAAATTGAAGGAAAAAGAACCCGAAGAGTGAGCGGTCATGAATTGAACGACGTTCAATTATCGTCCTTAGTACCCTCCGTCCATCAAAAATGGTCACTCTCCTCATTGTTTGACGGTCAAAGACGAAAATAGAATCTAAACAACAGCCTAAGGCCTTGTGTTTAATCAACTAGTAAAAATGAAGAAGGACAAAAAAAATAATCTGCAAGGAATCACAACAGCAGAAGATAACGCCACTCCACAAATTGCAAGTGATTCCAGTGCCTCTTATTTTCTGAATGAGACCATCACATCAGAGAAATCAATAAAATATTTTTAAGGAAGAGGCCATTTGAAGCGAAGAATTACTGCCATTGAAAAAAAAGGCAGCGAGAATGTACCCTCTACAACCTACTACTAAAACCAACTCTACCAACACTAAAAGTTTGACAGAAATTCCACATAAAAGTGTGTCTCGAAACATCAACCGAACTTTTCGCCAGAGCACTACCGTGTTCTTCAAGAAAGTCGTCAATTTGTGGAAAATAGAGGCTAACAAGTAACTCACTGTTCAGAATTCAGTCAAAGGAATAAATTCTTGTCTGCGCTACGGAAATGAGTGGACTGTAGCTCCTATTCTCTACCCTTTATTTCTTCATGGCAGCGTGTGGCACTAATAGAACGACAGCGACGCTGACATGTCATAAATCTCGGAATCCCTACGGTTATAGTACTTTCATTTCAGTTAAAGAAGTTTGGTCCTGACTGAGTGTTTACTTGAAAATTAGTACTGAAAGTCGAAACTATTTTTTTTTTTACAATATAATGCTTTCATAGCAAAACGTTCCGTGCTCGGATTTCCCTCCAAATAGTTGGCAGGTTTGGTCCTTATATGTTGTATTAGAGAAGTGACTTACCTGTGATGTACAAGTGGCATCGTATCCGACAAGTTCACTGATCTCAGTTCAACACTGAGATGTGCGGTAAAAACGTTTACACTGGACACGACACATGAATCGCCAAGAGGCCGGAAAAAAGCAAGAATTAGAAAACAACAAAGACTCAAACTTGCCTTTCAAAAAAAACCGATTGCTTTTTATTACTAAATTCTTTTTAACAAAGCATTTTAGCCTGTAAATCACATCACTAGTATTTTTTGTTCATAGTGACATATAACATAGATGGGTGAATATCACAGTGGTAGCGACGGCCGTCATCACGAACATGGTGCTAGTTCGCTTCCGCTCAGGGCCAACCAGGTCGCTCATCCCCCCGGGGTCTGGGAGTTGGTATCGGGCTTGCTTGGGAAAAATCACTCTCTGTAATCCAATTGGGAATGCTCCAGCTCGGCTATCTCGCGAATCTAGGGAGAATTGTTCAGGCAGCATTCTACGACATTCAAGATGAAAATGCTCAAGTAGCAACCGAAGTCACATGTAAAAGTTGGATGATCTTCATGGACAGTGGATTGGGGAAACGAGTCGAATGTAAGAAGTGCTGGAATCCACAAGGCAGACGTGAAGACGGGTCATATAAAATTAAAAAAATAAAATACAACAGAGAAGCAGTGCACGGTGAAGATAGGGTTAGATGATGATAGGGTTACCTAGCTGACTTCGATTGCAGGGCACAAGCTCTTTCTCAGTGGCAAAGCTATTGCTGGAAATTTTCAATCATAAAAGCTGATTGGAATGCTGCTGTTTTTGAGTAACGTTGAGTGTTTTACAGATTTATAGTGATAGAAGAAACTGCTCAGAGGCTAAGTGGAACCACGAAAATGTAGGATAAGGAGAACATTTCCCTAGTAAAACTCGATTTCTATGTATAGAGCGCAAAAAATATTAGCATAACTATTGATGAATCTGATTACTAAAAGTCGTAGGCCTATTAATCAAAGGAATAAGAAGCAGCAGCGATGGTTATTACTGTAGAAATAAGGAAAGCCGTATGATTTATTTAAGTCTGCTTATGTTTAGGTAATGTCGTTTTTATCACTCTTTGTTCATTGTGGATTGATTGAGAGGAAGAGCTTTAAATATAATCCCATTTCATATTGCTATGACCGCTTTGTTGGCTTCAAAACTGTTGCTGAACTCGGACGGAAAACTAATCAATACCCATGCATTACTCTGCTACCACAGTGTATTTTTACGAGCCATACACTTCTCATACTTATAAAATCGTTGTTGCAATCTGCCAGGCAATATTCCAAACGGTTTCACATTTTGGCAATCGCGATCAACTGATTGACAATCTGAAAATTGAGCAAAAAATTGTTCTATGTTAGGTGTTTTTGCTGTTGTTCATCAGTTCCATATCAGTATGTAGACTACATCTTTTCATTGCTCTCAGCAATAACTCGTCAGTAGACATATTTTTTCGACGCCACATTGATATTGTAAGAATTAAATGCGAATCAGAAATGATGAAGAAGGAATAGCAAGGCAACTCCAGAAACATACGCGACTTTTTTAGGCATGTAAAAGATATAGAAACAATACTAAGGACTGATTCCTTTTCACTGATTGGAAACGATGGTTGTATACGTTTGGCGCTCGAGAAAGGGCGCTGTGCTCGAATTAATTAATACGCATGAATCTTTTTTTTGCACGTTGAAATCTGTCATATCATGCCCTACCTAACTACCTTGTAGCAAAAATTACGTGCTTTCTGGAATATTCGAATGGCTTGTCTTTAATTATGAATCGCCCGCGCTCCGTCAAAATTTTCACTCAGTTGGTAATTTGATGGTTGGCAGAAAATTCTTCTTCCGAAATATGAAATTAGCCTCAATAGGTTTTTCCCAATTCGTTACCCCAACACGGAGGAGATATTAACCAGTTAACTAATATTTCTCTACCAGTGCAACGACGGTTTCTAGCATCGGCCTGTTCTTATCTAAGATCTCGGTCGATTGGAAAACTCGACCAAACCACCTTCTCACCTTCCGTAGCATTGCTTTGTGTATGAACCCCAGCTGCACATAGCAGCTCGCCATTCGCAAACACCTTGCAGTTACGATTTGAAACCATACGTTTACCACATTTACATATAATAAGGAGTTGAAATAGTAGCAATAAATAACGGTAGATAGTGTTAAAGCGACGATTGGCGTTTGCATGAGTTATAGAAAATACTCACTTCACCTTAGACTTCACCTTCACTTCACCACTCTTCATCTTATAATGTTGTTATACATTTCTAACGTTAGTTATACGCTTTTCTATGAACACGGCTAACTGATTAACGTATTATGTAATTACTTCATTCACAACTCTTGCCCTGCATTAGTATACTGGCTACATTGACCGGGCTTAGTAAGGTAATATGCAACAACGACCATATGAGCGCTTTTGCCTATTCCAGTACCGAGTGCCGTCACTCTATTCATCTAAACACTGTTTCCATTGTCTCCATCTCCGTCTATTTCTTCAACCGTGAGAATTACATTTTAATAGCTAAGCTCTTCATTCACTTAGCTAGCACTTGTGCGATCCCTCTCTCTTTCCACACAGTCGCTGAGACACCTATGGATTCGGAGGATGGACTCCTGGTTTCTGCTACGCCAGTTTGGCAAGTGCTTTCTGTGTTTACGAAGACGCTTTCGTGCATCCTTGTGTCGTTGTGCTTTCGCTTATGCGGATTCTATTCAACGCTATTGAACAACGGCCTCCGTGGCTACCTTTTCGACTCAACGGTACTTCCCGCGTTAACGTATGCCTCAGAAACCTCGTCGCTGCGTAAACAGAGTGAAAAATCACTCAGCGTTGTTGAACGCGCAGTTGAAAGGATGATTCTAGGGGTATCCCATGTCAAGCAAGTAAGGGAAGGAATCCGAATCTCCTGCCTTGTTTCAACAATCAAGGATGAAAGGTGCCGTTCTGTACGCCAAACAATAGAGGATAAGGTGGGCCAGACATGTAATACATATATGAACGACAACTGATGGACAAGAGACGTTTGTGACTATTGTGACTAAATTCCCCAAGATGTCAGATGTACAAAATGTAGCCGTTCGTGAGAGCTCTTCATAAAAGCTATAGAAGAAAAACACGATGCGCAGCGATTCCCTGGAGTGAACGGAACCCACCGAGCTATTCGTGCATCTGGTCCAGAACGCTGTGCACACTTCAGTGTCCATACCGCATAGAATGTTTTGAATTGTTCAACGCTTATTCAATATACATATGGATGCCAACTTCTTGTCACTTGTCATATTGAAATTTTGTCCTTTTTTGTCTGTTTTTAAAATGGAAACGAAACTACGTTGCAGTTTCTCTTGGATCCGTATAGTTAATTCCGAAGGCGTTTTAACTTGTTGTTAAGATAGTCTATTAAATAACTAATAGATCTAAGCTTACGGGCTCTGCTATTCATTCCAATGCAATTATCCCATGGCAATTGGTTGGTGAATGCGTTTGCCGACTTAAAGAAGGTATCAACCATGATGACAATTAGATCGTTACCGAGTAATAAGCTAACTGCTAGCAGAAGTACTGCGGATACACCGACACCTGAAGTACAGACGGTTACCTGCCTATTATGATAGTATCACATAAAAAACGTTTCGCAAAAGAAGTATAAAAGCAAGCAGTTCTACGGATCGATCTATTCCTATCTAGTAGAACCTTTCCACATAGTCCCCATGCGATTTACTGCTACTGCATGATTTAAATATCGACAGTTATTTTTATGAAATATAGATGACATTACGTTGAACGGGGTTTTTTGAAGTAAACCTGTGGGATCATCTCGATGCTATGCTATTTTTTCATATTTCCCGGTTTTGTGGTCGTGAGGACGAACTCAAATTTGCGTCCGCTTTCGCCATATGTAATTGGTGCAACTTTACTTCTAAACCTAATTAACAAGCATTAAACACATGACGTATGCGCAGCAGAGATCCGGTCTGCCTCTTGAGACGACGCCTAATTTTTGGCCACATGGAGACGGTGGCTTTTTGACAATAAGCGACAATAATCGGAGTTCGATCTGGGCTGGGGTCCGAGTTTGCGAATATCCTAGCACTGATATGATTGCATTTCACATAAACGATAGTTTTTGAATAATTTGAAGATTTGGGAAAATGCGAATATGGCAGCGTTGTAGAACATACTCTGCTTCATTGTTCTGTAGGTTTCGATGGTATGCATGCTTCCACTATTTGTCACTATCATTACATGACCCGTCATCATATCAACTGCACGGATTCTAGCATTTGTTGACTTCAATTCGTTGTCCCACGTTTTCCGTGCACAAAGGTCTTGGAACATTTCGTGTGTTGTTTCGGCTGCTTTTTGAGAATTTCTCGTTCTTTTCGATACTGTCGTAGAATGCTGGTCGAGTCGATCTTTTTTGCATTCTTGAAAGTAGACTAGTAAACCGCCCATGACATACTATCAAGACTGGGTGAGGTGAAAATGGAAATCGTATTGTAAGGCACATGTCTCAACGCGTCTCTTCTATGGGAATTCATTTTTCGAGAAAATAGAAGCTCGCCGATAAACATAGGAGCTTCCTAACGGCACGATTCATGCAGAAATTGATCATGTTTTCACGAATAGAAAATAGTGCCTCTTTGACATCTCAGTGGTACCGGGATTGGTATTGTATTGATCGGCCTGTTCATCATCCGATAAAAACGAAACAAATCGTGTATAACGAGGATATTTTCAATAAAATCCTCTCCTGATGTGACTAGCAGGTAAACGAAAACTCGACCAAAGACTAGAAGCTGCTTGTCGAAGAACTTCACCGAAATTGCCGCAGTTCCTCAAAGAAAAAGTCATGAAAAAGAGGAGAATACTGAAACTTGGCCCTACTGCAACACATAAACGGTTTATGTTGGCCGCAGAAGATTTTTGGAGAAGGATTTACGTTAGCATAGGCTGAAAAATTAGTTGGAAGCAGCTCAGAAGCAACCTAGTTTAAAGAAGTGCCGTCAGGTTACTTGCGATTATAATGTTCCACTATCCACCTTGATAAACGAGGATAGGATCATCACCACACCGTGTCATTATAAGGAATCGATGGAGGAAAGGTTTTATCTCGAAATCGTCGCTGATAAAGAGCCGCCAGGGATTCTACCCTGTGAGGTTCGATTTTCGATAGTAGGCATAAAGAATGATACAGCTCCTAAGTTAGATATAACCGTCGATTTTGTAAGGAGTGTTGACCGCATATTACGTGTTTTTTTGCAACCCATATGGCACGCTACCTTCAGAAAGAGGAAATCCCGGACTAGTGGAGGACCACTCGCACGGTTCGTCTTGCGTAGGAACACAGACCGAAGGGATCTTCTTAACAACTGTCCAATGTGCTTGTTGATTGCTTTTTCTGCATGCTGTTCACAAAGATTTTCCATTTGTCCACATCGAAAATCTTGGAAGAGACATAACCAGATGAGCAGGCAGGATGACTACAAAAATTCGGCTGCATGGACCACGCTAAAGTCGTGTTATGGGTTATAGAAATCTGTCATGGGTATCAACCGCCGTTGTAGTAACCTTCATCGAGTACGAGAAAGCGTTCGACAGCTCCGAAAGGAACATAAACCTATCAGTGCTCGTCGACCAAGGAATGGATTCATACTGCATACGAACAACAGCTGGCTACTATCAAAACTGCAACACAAACATATAGCTTTTTCATCGACCCCTCACCACACCTGTGGGAAAAGTTTTCAACAGGGCGACACAGTTTCGCCAAAGCTGTTTAGTGCCGCACTGCCGTGGATAATGAAGTCACTCGGTTGGGATGGGAAAGGAATACGTATTGATGGAAAATTCCTATCAAACTTTTGTTTCCCCGACGACATTGTTATCCTTTCGAGGGGTACCAATGAAGCAGGGACGATGCTCAATGAACTCAGTAAGGAGGGGAAATAGACTGAAATGCGCAAAAATATGGCCATGAGTTCATGAAGAAACCAAAACGCGAAGATGAAAAAATCGAGCTGGATGGATCTCAGATTACAGGAACCACCTCTTACGTGTACCTTGGACGTAAATGATCGTGGAGAACAATACGAAAGAGGAATTAGACAAAGGAGAGCAGCTTGAGCAGCATTTGGGTTCCTCGAAGAAGCTGTCGACCAACTAATGAGCCGAAAACTCCGGGCTCACCTTTTCTATTTAACGGTCCTGCCAATACTCTGTTATGCAACTGAGACATGGATTGATAATCCAACCACATCAAGAATACCGCACGCCACTGACAAAGCGTTTGAACCTTTTGAAGTTTGGCCGGCACTCATAACGTCTAGCCGAAATACGCAGCTCAAATCTTCGAAACCTACTCCATCTTCGGCTTCCAGGAGAATATAGATCAATAGGGAAAAACAGATGAGTCGGCTACATAATATAAATAACACGTGAGAGATAAACGAAATGAACAGTGGAGTGGACTTCACGAAAATGCAAGCGTCCTCTTGGAATACAACCCGGACAATGAGTAGACGTATTCGTGGCTATCGGCAGTCGCCTGCACGTTCACATGGCAATCATTTCAGAAATCGAGAATGAGCCTTGCGATGTCATTATGTTAGAATGTTCGAAGCAGACACCACCGTGGACGACGATTGTGCGAGAGTGAAACGAATGGGAATTATGCTGGGACCCGTGCAATCATTTAGGAAGGGCCATCTGCCTATTGTAGTAAGTATGGCCCATCACGCAAATTTGCTGACAGAATTTGGAAATATTGTGCAGCTTACGTCGACTGTTTTCTAAATTTTTATATTCGTCAATTTTATACAATAACCATTATTTGTTGTTGCTACTATAATCTGAAATAAACAGTCAACTTCCAGGCAACTTATCACTCAAAGAATGTGTTCGAGAAAAGTTTTGTGCAATTCCACGCACATAATTGAACTTTCGGCCCACCAACATCGCTCTCAGACAGGCTTTCGCTTGGTCATGAAAACTATAGAAAAAGGGTTCTGAGCGCTTTAGCAAACATTATGAAAGAGAATTATTCATTTAGAGTTCATAAAACCCGTTTGGGGTGCCATCTAGGGACGTAAACATCCATGCTGCCCTTGTGTGTAAACACATTAGGTTGTTCGTAAGTAAGTAATAATAATAAGCTTTTTCATAATAAGTAAGCGTTCTTAACTGTATTGCTTAAAATGTTATAACTTTCTTCATGCAAAATTTTATGAATTAGAATGAAGACTAAATCTTAACCCTTTTATTTACTGCGTTTTTCTTTTTAATGGCAGGGTATGTTGCAAAATATAACTCGTATATAATGCTGAGATATTTGCAAAACTCCGGTGCGGAACGAACACGCGCTGCCGCATATACCTGCGGTCCGGAGTTTTGCAAATATCTCAGCATTATATACGAGAATGAAGACTGCTTGAATTTGCACATTCTTGCCAACGAGAAACATGTTTATTTATTTCAGTTGCTTAAAATTATGAAGTACTGAAAGCGATGAATCCGTTGAATCAACTTTCTGCGTCATGGTGGTTGGTGAAGCATTTCTCGAGCAGGAAATTGTCAAGATACTTGAAGAAGTGATAGTCGAGATATCTGATGAATATGGCGAATCAGGTAAAGTTTCGTGGCCCAACTCGTTCAACTTTTGCAGCGCTGGTTCCGCAACGTGAGGCCGGGCGGTGCCGTGGAGGATTGGTCCTTTTCTGCTGCCTAATGCCGTTGTCGTTGAAATCCACGCTGCATTTCGTCGATTTATTGGGAATACTTCTCTGCTGTAAACGTTTCACCCGAATTCGAAAAGCTGTGATGAATCAGCACGGTCGAAAACCTCAAGCAGTCCCCATAACCTTTTTTGCTGCAATTTCGGATTTTAGAAGCGTTGTGGAACCTGATCGCTATGCTCCAACCATTGTGAGCAGACGACACTTCAAAACGACGATTTTTTTTATTATCGTTTAACCACTGCAGCATTCAAGTTTCTCTGTCTTTCCTATGCCATTCAAGTAAGTGGAAATTGTTCCTGTACTTATTTCAAGCTATTCTAAAAGCTCTCGAAAAGTTGTTCACATGCTTGCTTCCGCTACTGCCTTCGATTCGTCGTCGTCAAGTTCAATGGGACGCCCGCAGCCTTCTATATCTTCGAGGTCAAAATCACCAGATAGGAATTTCCGGAATCATGTTCGCACTGTTAATTCATTAACGCTATCTTCATACCTACCAAACTTCACATTAATGTTTCAAGTGCCATCGTTGCTGCACTATGGCCGACTTTGAATCCGTAAAAGAAATTTTGACGAAGATTCGTTTTTGACATCTAAGGCTGCACAGCTCAGAATTGACGAAAAAAATTATTTTTTAATACTGGTAAAAAATACATTAAAACAATAAACATTTTCGCCCATTTATTTCTGAACAACCTGATATAATGCCCTCACTGTTTTTATCGTCCCTGGCGCTTGCGAAGGCACGTATTTTCTGGCTTTAGCGGCTTTTCTGCGGTTTTAATATATAGATGGTAATTTTCATACAAGTAGAGCGATAGGTTATGAACATGGCACGATTGTGGAAGAGACCTTGCTCTATCCTTCTACGGGTAATAGTGGTATGTTTCCTACTATTTACCCGTACAAACCATTGTTTCCAACGTTTGGAAGTGTTTTGAAACTTATGAACTATCTAATTGGGTATTTTTATACCCACAAATTCCAAAGTCCATGCAATAACCATGGTCTCTTAGAGGACTAACAGTCAATTGTCGGTTAAGTTACTGGGCAATGAACTCTTTCGAGAAGTTTTTATACATCTCTAGCTGAGGAATAGAGCTTTTTTCGGTCGTATCCCGCTCTAACATATGTATTGGATAAGCTAACGACTGATTATAAACGATCTAACGAAAGCGTTTTGCAAGCCAAATTAAACTAACGAAGAAAAATACTTCATAAAAAACTCCTATTGATTTGTGTAGAATCCATACCATCCATTATACATTAGGTCACGATTCAAAGACCTCAGGCCGATTGATTACAAGAAGACAGGGCTAATTCACCGAATAATCAGAAACTCCCAACAATGCTAGGTGGTTTGCGCTCAGCTTCAGTAAAAAAGGCTTAGTCAAGTTCACTTCGGTTGGATTTAAGGATAACCGAACACATTTATATGGCAATGTTAATAGTACTAATATTTGAATAATGCTTAACATTTGTCCAGCCTTTTCACTTGTTCTATCCATTTAATCAGATCTTGCATCTTTAGACTGAGAGACCGTTGTTAAAAGACTACAGAAGTCTAAAGTTTAAAAAAGGACTAAATTTCACAAAAATACTGAATATTCACAAGCAGTAACGTCTTAACAAAGTCAGAAAGTCTAAATTAAGAACACACCGACAGCGATCGGAGCTATTCGATCAAATACCGCTAGCACAGTGGCATGGGTGTACTGACCCAAAGCCAATTCAAGGTAAGTCATGGGAAATCCAACGCAGAACATGCTTATGACGAACGGAATAAGAAAGTGTACTGAAATACACAATAATGTCTTTCTTCGTGTTGGGTACCAGTTAATTAAAAAAGGTTAAGAGGCTCTTAGCGTTCGTCAATCCCTGACGGATAAGTCATGCATCCGATTTCACTTAGCAACGCCAGAGGTGACTAAATGCATATATGGCCTATATAAACGACTTGAGCTGTCAATCTATCGGATCAGTGCTGCTATACTTCCAGACAAATCTGGTGCTAATATCACGATCCAGTAGGTTGGCAGTCTTGGTGAGGCAGTAATGTGAAATCGGATCAAACACCCCGTATTTCATGCAGGAGACTTCTAACAACTCTAAGCGCGTATATACTTGATTATCCGTGTAATATCGTTTCATCAAACAAAGATAAATTTTAAAATTCGAGGTTCATAAACACTTACTTCCATGTCTTGTTACGGCAAAAGTGAACATTGAGAAATTGTCCATAGTAGCCACGTAGGAGACCATAGCGCAATAGAAGCCAAGCTTTCCCAGACGAAGTGTGGTTGTAAAATTGTATCGTGAAAGCTTTCCGATAGTACTCTATGGTAGAATTGGGTAGTATCCTTTAAATGCTCTGAAGCTAGTGCCTCAAACCCTTTCATTATACTCGTAAACTTGTAATCATCCACCACCCTTCAGGCAACAAGGTCGCGTGGTGGCAAATCTACCTCTGATCCACAACGGCTGCAACTGCCTGTGGTGGTGAAGAGCTGGGACAGCCTTTGGCCAGGCTGACGTCGGAATTCCACGGAACTGCAATGGTTTAGCCAGCAAATCTCCGAAAAATGGTGATTATGCTGGAGCTCGCACAACTAGTGAGGACGGACCGTTCAAGTATCAGGCAAAGAAGTCACTGGATATGCCTCAGACAAGGGGATCGCAGACTGGTACCTTCTCACAGTCCGCATTACGTCGCTAGGATGCCGAAAGCGGACTGTGAACCAAAAGTGACAACTTTCTTGCTTAGAAAAAATAAGACCTCGTGCGAAAACTTTGGCGCCTTGCGAGTTCATTGAGCTAGTGGTGCCATCTGAGTTTTCCTCAGATGCGGTGGAAAAGAAAACAAGATGTATTGATGTTAGAACCGGATTTTTCCATGATTAATGGGATTAGTTGTGGTGGAATAATCTATGGAAGAAGCAAATGTGACTAATGTTGGCCGAGAGATAAGATCTCTTTAGAAAGAAATATAATCCACGAAGTTTTCAATGGTCTAAATTTAATTCTTGCCTTTTTATCTACATTTTGTTGTTACGTTTTTCAACGAGCATTTATCAATAAATAAGAATAAATCAGACAGAAATAAATTTAGAATAAGATTTTATCCGTACCGATAAGCGTTCTCTGCTTACCTTTTCAACATAGTCGCGGAATTCGTTAGTAATGACCACTTCAATCCTTTCCGATTCAATTGACGAAGAATCCAGGGAGCCAGACGAATCGTCGGCTGTATCGTAATTACCTTTTCGCCTTCTGATTCGTCGGGTCCTGGGCTCTCTTCTTTTCGGAGCTTGAAGAAACGTTTCTATTATTGTAATTACAAGATTTCACCCCAGAAATTTTATCGTATTAGAGGGAGCCACTTTTAGAAACCCGTGCCAAGTTTTTCTTCAATATTAAAATGTTTTGTTATTAAAATCTAACTCATGAAAATAAGCGTAAGAGACATCGCGGTTCAAATAAGCTCTAATAGCAGTTTTCTTCTCTCTCGAGCTAAAATATTCTTGTAGGAATAGAACACTTAAAGTGACATCAAAGTAACAAGGGCTGTTGTTCAATCGTTCCACTATCTTCAGTGCTACCAAAATAGCTTTTCCTGCATCTAGAACTTCGATGTACAGTAAGCAGCTCGCCCTCTTTAAAGCTACCCAATACAAATTTCCTAACATTTCCCTTCGTAACCCGAGTCAGGAGTAATCCTATTCCAGTAAGCTTCGTTTATTGGTAGCACTGGCAATCGAAATACATATAGTTGCACCCAAACCGTTATGTCCACATATGTGAAAATCTACAGTGAAGGTTAAGAGAATGGACGTCATTCTTGAATATACTTTGATTGTTCCCCTTTTTAGAGCAATAGAGGAGGAGGTTATTCATTTTGATATACGGAAATCATTAAATGGATGGTTATTTTAAGGCCTATTCACTTTTTGTGTGCTTGTTCCACCAAGAATTCGTAATTTGTCAATTCTTCCATTTCACCTCAAAATCGTCTCCTTAGGATATTCTATTCCTCACCTTCGTTGTCTTGTGAGTCACGGCTCGCTTTTTTATGGCGTTTCTCTTCCCGACTCCTTTTCCGACTATAACTTTCCCTGCTCAACGCTTCTCCACTGGTACGATTTCGACTATACCCTTCTCGGCTGTGACTTTCCCCGCTCACTACTTCTCCACCGGCACGATGTCGACCATGACGTTCTCGGCTACAACTTTCACCGCTCATTCCTTCTCCACTTAGCCTATGACCTTTTCTTCCATAACTTTTCTTATTCTGTCCTCTACTGACATGATTTTCATCCAGTTTTTCTCTGTTCTGTCGGTCCACATTTATTTTGCCTCCTTCTAGTCGTCCTTCACTTTTTCTTCCTTGTTTACTTGGGCTGGCTTTCTTTTGCTCATCTCGCTTGCTCTTCTTGCCACCTTCACACCCTACAACAGAAAAATCTCAGACATTCATAGCGTACCGATGCACGGAACGAAACTTTTTGCTCGCAAAAGTTAAATACCCTCAAAACCTGCAACAAGTGCCGTATTGCACTACGGTGCCATCTTCCACAGCATCGAGACGGTATTAAGCCGATATTAAGTATAGAAATAATCTTCATCTATATGCCAATTCATTTTTGTAGGAACATTTGCTTGATGTCAATTCAAAGGAATGCAATTGTATCTACTGACGTTCCTTCTTGAAAGACACTATTGCCAGTCACCGTATTTTCACTTCCATGTATTTTTTAAACATGTCGGTGACGGAGATCCCATCGAGAAGTTCGCAAGTCGGTTTAAAAGTGAGGGTTAAGAAGATTACAACTAGTTTTTACGCATTGTAAACGTATTTTGCGAAGTTTAACCTAATATAAGTATCGTTTCAAAACTTAGTAAAAGGTGCAACTGCCACCATTGTCTACCACAAACACTGAATGACCTTATGTTTCTGGATGTCTGAAGCTGAAATTCTGCGAGATTAAGAAGTGAGCGATTTTCTAGCTAGGAATATATGCCCTCCGCAAGCCATCTCAATTGAACTGTTTCTCTCACATGCAAGAGAACAGAAACCCTCAAAGCAATAATCTCCTGCTGTGTCGAAACAGCTTAATGCGCAAGATCAATAGGTAGTGTGTACAAACGGCAATGACGTAATGAGCATGAGAAGATCACCGATAGCTATTGGGAATTTCTCGAAAGCAGAAATTACAACTACAATGATGCTAAGATATTTGCAAAACTCCAGCCCACAGGTGTCTCTGGTTGGGATTAAACCCGTTGCTACCCTTTCCAGGAGCTGACGTGTTCACCACCACTGTAAGTGGGTACTTCGTTTCACCATTCTCTCTGCAAGGTTTTTATTTAACAGTGCCATCAGCAATCACCTATCGAATGGTTGACCTGGTGAGCACAAATCGGCATTGAACCCAGTTAAGTAGAGGCTGTATCCGAGATCACAATGTTGGCTGATTTTTTATTGGCAACTATGATTTTCACGGCAGGGTGTTATGTGAAATGCAGCCAAAATGATTCTGAGATATTTGCAAAACGCTGGACCGCAAGTGTCTGCGGAGGGGATCGAATCCTCTATCACCCCTACCGTGAGCTTCCTCTTCCCCGAGTTCACCACCAAACCATGTGGTTTCTTCGTTTCGCTCTTCTCTCAGCTAGTTGATTACAATTTCCTACCCAGGTTACGTATGAGTTTCAACCATGGGCTCACTAACAACACCACGCCATGGATAAGCCAGTTGACCGTCCTATTGATGAGTGGGCAGCTGCGAACACCTAAATCCCTTAAGGACTTAAAGAAGAACCGTTCGATATCGTGCGGCTAAACGCTGTTTACCTCTTTCAATAGTGGACTATACATATTAATTTAATCACTTGCTTGTTGTTTGGATTAATCGGATAAATCGCTTCACCAACTAATGACTGCCGTGCGTGACCAGACAACCGAGAAGGAACATTCATCCTGCAACCCCGACGCCGTGGGGAGCGTACGGCGGAGTGGTTGGGGCACCGAGCGACATATGTTAAATCGATCCCGGCACCTCCGAAGTGGGGTCGGCAAATTGGTACCTGACTTGTCTGGGATAGTATCACTGGCTCGATACATCGGTAGGCCACCACGAGTCATTGTAAAGAAGGCCAGATATGTATTCAATCACCTCCAAATGATGCTTAATGAAGTAGAATGCATGTCGCATCCCTTAGAGATTGGTCAACGCTGAGAGTCTTATCTCCATCCTTTAACGTGAGCCACTGCTCGAATATGTTCCATGTTGTGTCATGTTCCCCCGTAACAAGGCTGTCGATCCATGAATTCCCACACTTCCTCATGAAGAAATGATTAAGTTTCCTGTTATATCGGACTTGAAATCACGGATCTCCCTCATAAAGAGATCCCATGGGTAATATAGGTCATACGGGTGATCGGATTAATGTAACACTTTTGATTCCTAGCATGTTATTCCGACAAATAACATAATTTCGAATTACTCGAGTTGTGATTGATCTAAAATCCCACTTACATATTCTTATCTAATGAAAAGCACGATTTCGAATTTGTTAGTTTTGGGAATTTGGTACTCGCGTGAGGAGTCACAGTTGATCGGGAAATGTTCTTCGGAAGCCTTTTCTTTCTTACAGTTTGAATTTCTCGGTCAGATTTGTGGATTAACCATTGCACCTTTTCTGATCTTTTTAAAATCTCCCGCCGAAATTCTGTCTTCATCACCGTGTTTCTTGCCGTCTCTCTTCTGTCCTGAATAATACCATCGTTTTTTAAACTGCTTCATGAAAACTCAATTATTAGCTGAAAAAATGCTATGTTACTAAGTCGTAATTGTAATGCTTTCCAGGTAGATTGGCCGAAATATGCAAAACGTTGGTACTCACCACGTTCCCAGTTGCATTGCATATTTAGGATAGGTTCTGCTGGCTAAAATGTAATCAATAAGATTGCGTATTGTACTGGTTCTGACCGTTTCTTCTCAGAAATCGAAGTACAGGTGGTGCATATGAATCTATTTACGATAGTGTAACTAGCAGTTTGCCTACAAAAATATTACAGCATATTATTGACGACCACGGAGTGACTGAATCCTGATAAAGACAGTTAAATACAGGTTACGGCATTGGAAGAGCATCGTTTCCGCAGTAAATACAGATAGGCGATTAAAATGTGTAGTTTGACAAATCCTTCCCTTTCTTTGCTTTTTTTGGTTATCTCTCCACGGAGTGCTTAGGTCTTCAATCAACAACAGCTTTGCTGTACCCCATATACATTCCGACCGCGAGTCTTATTCTGAGACCAATAGGCTCACAATACTCGACTTAACTGTCTATTGCATAGTTTGACTGCTGCTAGCCCCACTGTGTAGGTATTTATCAGTTTGTCGTTAATCGATAAGTTTACGATCATGCTGGCCAACTATAGTACCTTTTGTAACTTATGAAGGCTACAAGAAGAGCGAAGACATACCGGCTCCTTCACACTTCGTGATTGCTTAGCCGTATATGCGGAAGACAGGAATGAAATGCTCTTTACTTTCTAACCTATCATAGAAGTGGTCGATATCAGACAAGCACTTTATCTGCTTATTTAAGTGTTTTTGTGTAGGGCGCAGTCGCAAGAGCAATTATGCAACCGTAAGAAATGCGTCGTACTCGATTTCTACTTAGCGCTTGAATCTTGCAATTCGTTAATCACATTGCTTCTTTCCCAGTTGCTGTGTTCCCATTTCATCATACATACGAGAGCACGTTTGGCGCAGTGGTTGGAGGCATTTCTGCGACACACACGTGGAATAGGTCCCACGCCCGTGGCCCACCAAGCCTTTCTTCCCTCCAGGGTAGGCAAATTGGTACTGGACCTGTCTGGAAGGATAGTAGCACTGGTTCGATACATCGGTAGGCTACCGCGAGTCATTGTAAAGGCCAGATGTGCATTCAATCACCTCAAACGATACTTAATGAAGTCGAATGCATGGCACATCCCTCAGAGATTAATCCACGCCAAGAGCTTTATCCTTTTATTTTCATGCTCGCAAAGAAAATTGGTACGAATTTGCTAAACTTGGAATGATGACAGTTTTCTTATTTGTTCTATGGTGGGCGCTTCTCTGCTGCTGACACTGCACATATGTATTGCTGCTACCGTCCCAACTTTGGGGTTTGAACTTTTACACAGATATGGGCACACATATACACAAACATACACACACACATGCACACACAAGCACATACCCACACTCACATACACACACACAATACCATAACGACGTAATAAATAAGCAAAGATAACGTCGAGTGAGAAAAATTATATTGACAGTCAGAACTTAGCCTCTGTATTGGTGTGATGAAACATTAGGAACTACAATCAATTGGAAACATAACACAACGGTAGATGGAATAGGTCCAACATCAACATTAAGTCTTGAATAAAGTTCGTGAATGGGTAATTTTTTTTTAGTAAACTAGTTATCTTTCGTTCATGTGGCATTGCAAAGATTGTAAAAAAAATGTAGCTCGCGTAGCGCAGTCACTAAAGGTGCCCTGACACTGGATCGCACGTAGATTCGATCCTAAATTTCTTGTCCTCAAGCCTTTCGTCCTTAGTTGGTAGATAGACACCAATATCGCAGTTGCTAGCGGAATATAGGCCTTCGAGTCAGTTCTCGACACTGAATAACCACTAGCTTTAAGCAGAATGCTGGACTTCGTGAGAAGACGCCACGCGGGAGTTTTCGCAGTTGACACAGGGCAACACCTTTCGACACTCAAACTTGGGATTAAATCTTTATATACATAAAGACAACACCGATACAACAGGAATAACGATGGAAGAATACTGGCGTAAGAATAAGATAATCAAATCGAACGTAAGACTCCTAAAGATCTTGCCAAGTCCAAAAAATGCGATGTTAGTCCGGGCGTGGCTACGTCCAAGCGAGTCGTTGGTGGTAAGGTCAAGGACCAGGTCATGGGGTCCATTCCCCAAGCAATGAGACGTACCCAGCAGCATGCCCGGTGGTGTGACCGATAGCCACGTGATGCTGTGTCTAGTGGTGTTGTGGCAAAGGCCGTCTCCATCAACCCATGAATGTGTCTGCTAGGTAGGTAGAGAATTTTGATAGTGGAATTCTCTGTACGAAGTTCCTTAGGTTGGGATCAAAGCATTTACGTACTACGACATTTGCCAGGCAACTTGAGAAACAGTAGATCTGATCCTTACTACAGAAACATGCAGTAATAGAACTAGTAACTATTCCGGGGATAGTTGCTATACCATGCGGTATTAAAGACTGATTCAATGCATCGGTGAACTTATGTAAGCTGATGCTCAAAGCAAACATGGAATCAATCACCTCTACGATACTTCATGGAGCCAAACGACATTCCAACATACATATTTCCTCTAATTTTCGAATCATTCACCTTTTCCGGCTTATTCGTTATAATGGTTTCGCTTTCAATTTAATGCTAGTAGTTGGAAGCATCCATCTTGATCAATCCTCTATGGAAACGCCATGCTTTCGACACCATTATGCATAGCAACGATTATGAAGGCACATTTTGTTCATAGAATAGTTTACGGAAGTCTATCGGGGTACCCAGTAAGTATCCAGAAAAGTTTCATTTGCTCGCACTGGAGGAATGGATAAATCTCTGCTCGCCCTCGATCCGGAATTCAACGAACACGAGTGTGTTGGACGACATTTACACTCCAATTACTGTAGTACACACGTTATCATGGTCTCTTATCACCGTTAGTATATCCGCGGGAAAACGCCTCCTTATGCTTTTATTACTTTTAGTTCGCTTCGATCATTTCAGTTTTATTATCAATTGTGCAGTTGTAGCACAGTGGTTAGAAAAAACAGGCGTTCTCTGTGCTATTCAGATCGTTTGATTGGTCGAAGCCCACTTGTGGTACTTATCTGCTCTTCACTAGTGGCTTGCTATACATGTCGAGCCACTTGGTTGTTATTACGAGAGTAAATGGTTCACATTCCGAACCGGGAGAATGTGTTCAGTCATTCGGGAATAACGTGTTCGTCCTACTACGAGGGCAACGGCAACGAAACATCCATTGGAGACAATGGACGCTTATTACATTTACCTAATTGTGTTTGGTCAACGATTATTTATCTCCTTATTGTGGAGAGATCGTTATTTTACGAAAGTTTTCAGAATTAAGTGCAAATTTTACTATTATTCTAACGCACGACAACATCGTCGGAGAAGTAACATTTCGAAAGCAGATTTACAAAGCGCTTACGACTTCGTTGCGCTAGCATTCTCAATAATCAAGGCCTTGTATTCATATGATTATGAGGTCCTCACCTCGCACTAGTGGGGAATAGGGTCCATTTAGAAAAAACTATACAGCGAAGGTGAATGAAAGTTTGGTCATAGTGTTACTTTTCCCAAAACATAGAGAAGGTAGATCATCCCACTTCTAATGTAAACAACACTGATGTTTTTCGTCTCATCCAAAGGAACATTCTCCTTTTCATCAGAAGGGACAAACTTCAGCAAACACATACTGTGCACATCCAGGAAAAGCATCTCAACACTAACTTTATCCAGAAGTCAGATCAATAAATCAATTAGCAACTCAATGACATTCACACACGAAGGCGTCTCTCATTTCGTTCGGCAATGGTGCGATGGGCGGTCCCACGTGGGCCCCACAGCTCTGCATCCGGAATGAATAACCGTTTGAAATCCATTCTATAATAGTAGCACGAGAACACCTGAAACTTATTTAAATAATGACGATGTTCCTTCCCACTAAAAATCAAAACGAAAAGAATAACATTCAGCAGAAAATAAAATGAACAAGTAACCAATCTGTTTCAGTTAGTAAATTGGTAATGGACTTGAATAAAATTTATTAATAGTAATATGATAATAACAAATAAAATTTTCATGTTTCATTCTCCTATGAATAGAATTATTATTTTGTGTGACTCGTCTTTAGATCTACTACGCGGATCTCGCCACTTCTTGCATCCGATTCGTTTCCTCATATGAGTCTTCCACGAAAGCCTTTCAATGGTTTCGGCTCCTGATTGAGGATGTTGTTCTTTGTGAATGGCGCTGAGTGCTGATCGAGTCGACTTTCCGTAAAGTCATGAGTTAAGCCGGATTAGAGGGTTTCTTGTTCGATTACAGAGAGTGAACGGTTTCCGGAGAAGTCTGGTACCAATGTCCTGACCTTGGAGACCTCAGCGGGGAAGACTTGATGAGCCTGGAACGGAATCGAACCAGCTTCGTGTTGATAAAAGGTATTACCACGACTGCGCTACAAATAATGGATTATGGGTAGCACGTTGGTAGCTGTGCTGTCTATGATAAACAGTGCCGAGTTAGTTCACGCTCTGCTTAGACTTACCCTTGGGCACAGCAAACCTCCCATTCTTCAGGCGTTTTGAAATTGGTAGAGGGCCTGTCTGAGACCGGCCCACTTCCCCCGATTCACCAGAAACGTCCTACCACGACTATCTAAGGATACTAGGAGGAATCCACTCGAACAGCATTCAACCCCAGCCATAATAAAGCCTTCAAGCAGCAGTTGAAGCCACCCGCAAATACGGAAGCCTGAATGATGGATGCGAGGAAAATGAATCAAATGAAAGAAGAAATGGAATCTGCGCAGCATATGACGTCCAACCATGTAACAGGAGAAATGACTGGAACACCATAAAATAAGAAACCTTTCAAATGTATAACATGCAAGAATATTGAATGGAAATTTGGAACTCCGAATTGAAAAAGAAAAGTCTCCTGTATTTTGGAGCCTATGAAAAGCCTTCGCGAACATCGTTATTTCTCTCTCTCTCTTTCCCTCTATCTCTCTCAAAAGCGAAAAGAATAGTTTGAATTGGATACCCAGTAAAGGTATTACAATTGACTTCTATCGCATTAAGCATTTAATAATATTTGCACTGGCTAGTTTGCGTGCGAATGTATTTCTTCTTCTTGCCACGTGGGGCTTCTATTATTGCAGCAATCTCAAGCCTCAAAGTTCGCTAATTGGATAGTAACCTTACTATTCATTCTTCAACTCTTATCGATTTGTCTTCAGTTTTCTGGGTCTGCTTTAGTCATCGATTCATTTCGGATGGAGAAAACATCGAACAAACCTTGTACACGGCACAAAGAGGTATAGGTGATAGTAAGACGAACATGGCTAGTTTATCTCTATAATCAAAATTAGTGGCCTGATCATGGATGCTTTCTATAAGAGAGCCCTATAATTTGATTATTAAGTTTTTTCTTTTCGTCCTTCCTCAGCATTTCGCTCCTTCATGGAGAATCAAGACAATTCTGTTATAAAATGAAGTACATAGCAGTTCTTTTTTCTAACAATAAACTAACACTTAGAGCGATTGGAATCACTCCGATCCATAGAGCTGCCATTAACAAGTTCAATAAGTAATCGGTCATCTTAATTTGTGAGTGCCTCCTCTGAAAGAAAGATGCGTTTTAGTTTACAGAGAAAATCGTGCTCGTTTCAAACCGATTCTAAAAAAGAAAGCTTACTTTTGTTAGAAGAATTCAACATTTTAAATTAAAGAGCCAGGCATGTGACTTAATCGGTAAGATTTCAAACTTCGAAATGACAGGAGGGAGGATGCTGAATTTTCCCATGGAACGTTTTTAAACGTTCTTGATTGGGTGAGCATCGTTTTCCTCTAGCAAAAACCTGCTCAGTCTTGAAGTCGAATGTCGAACTAAGCCACAGGCTAACATTGATAAACATGAGGAATGATTAAGCCACGCTTCCATCCTCTACACGCTTTTATGGACACATTGTCGTCTTTTAAAGATGTATTCCCGCAAGAAATGTTCTATATATGTAAGACCCCCGATTAGATCCGCCAAGCCGACAAGCAATTCGACAATTCCACAAAGAAGCTCAGCCAAGAATAACACACTTGCGACCACGTGACCTCTATACTTGTATACCTGCATGGCCTGTCTTCATTGGTTGTGCAAGAGACCCAGCATAATCTCCATTTTTTCGGAGTTTGCTGGTTTAGCCACTGTGGTTCCCTGGTGTCTCGAGGTTAGCCTGCCCAGTCTGTTCTAGGTCGTTACCACCAACAGGCAGTCGCAGCCCTTCTGGATCGGAGGGAGATTTGCCAACATGCGACTAATTTGATATCTGGACGGTGGTAATTCTTGGTATTAGTTTACTCTTAGCTAGGCCTTCTGATGGAAACGCCGGACTCCTTCTCAGCTTGAGAAACCCTGTCAGGGGATGAATTCCCTCGTTGTACATCGCAGCCCGACACCCAGGAACACCTCCCAACCACGATGTGGCTGTAAACTGTTAGGAGGCGTGACCTCTATACGAGTCAAACGATGCGAGAACGAGAAATAAAGAGGCGTAAAACTTTCAGTCAACACATCTCAGCTAGAGATGGTCTAGTAAAAAGGTTTCTCAAAACAGCAAGGAGTCAGTAGTAGACTGATCCAGGTTGCACATAATCCTTCTTGAGGAAGGGTCATTCACGTGCCCAACTAAGAGTGTCTGGTTAGAACAAATAGTCCAAGTTACAAAAATTAGCATAAAATGCTTCAATAGATTAAAGACTATAATTGCTTACTGTTCCGCTAGTGACCATTGTGGCAACGTTGGAGAACAGACGTCTGATTCCGTAAAAGAAAACGATGACGAAAAGCTCACACAACAATACAACAAGAGCTGTCATTGGCAAGACGTTAGTTGCAAGACTGACTTGAAAAAGGTAACAGTCCTATAATAAACTTTTTTACTAGTTAAATCTACGATTCACAAACTTATCTGCTGCATATCGATCGAAAATGTACTCGAATCGATATGCACACAAATCACGTTTTTGTTGCTGTTGTTGCAGCTTTTCACACAAATCATAAATGAAGTACACAACTCTTGTGAAAAATAAGGAAAAACCAACAGAGCAACTGAAGACTAGTGTGAATAGTGACACCATTAAACAAATAATGCAGAGTAATATGCTTCTGGTGACATTGCTGTGCACAAAGCCGCAATATTCCATCACTACTGAGGAAATTATCTCGACACGAATGAACTGAAACGAATTGTTGGGTTAGCGAAAGAAGTAGAGTTAGCTATTCATTAATTACAGGAGAAAGCCCAACCTTGCTCGATATAGCGGAAACTGTTCCGAACAAAGACAAAATGAATATAAGTGGTGGATAAAGATCTCCATATGCTTCTAGCGATCCCATAAATATTGCGTAGATTTTTGAACTAGCTCGATTAGCTTTCACAGTGTAGTTATTCAGATTTAAATCTTAATGAATTATTTAACAGAGCTAGTGACTAGATACGACTGATTAACAGCGTCGAGAGTGTTTCTTATTCCTTCAAATTTCGAAAATGCTGTTATGAAAACAGCAAACTATCAAGTCGATAGGTATTATTTACATGTTTGAGAAAACACGTTGAAATCGCCTTGAGCCATTTGTAAAACGAATGCATTCCTCGTCTCCGCATGAACCATTGCTTGAAAAATGAAAATAATGGTAGTCAACGTAGTGATCACAATCGCATCACTGAAAACATGCTCCATTATGAAACTGCATGCTCCAATATGAACAAGAAACGAGGACGTTGTGCATATCATTGCCAGTAGCGTATTCAATTTCAAGACAGTGTACCTGACATATAGAGGGCCTCGACCGACCCATATACTCCTCTACAAACGCGTAATAGTCTGTTCCTCAAAATTTTGGGAAATCTCTTCGCTCCTGGTTCAGGTAGATAAATTCCGTTACTTCAGCAAAGTTTTTAAACAGTCGTATGGAATTAGTGTAGGGATGTTATAAAACTGCGTAACTGGTCTATATGTTCAATGCTTTTATGCGATATTGTGAAATGTCTTTATTACAGTAAAGCGCAAGGATGTTGATTCTCAAGACTCGTTCAGATTATTAGGCATCTTCTGCACTACTTCACTAATTCACTTTCGTATCGAACTTATTTGGGCGCACGTAGCGTATTGGTCGGAAGCGCCCTGAAATACACATGGGATCTTATTCTTAAAGTTGTTACCCTTCGCTCTGAGATAAAGCTCATGGTACAGCTTACTGTTGATATTCTTTGATTCACATTTTTTGTACCATGTCTTTTACCATGACCAGAGTGACGACCGTTCCTTCTAGCTTCTTCGTAAAGGCGTGCGCGGTAGCGCGAGTGCACAACTTCGGGCTTTCGAATGATAAGGCCATCTTTTATTAACCGCCGAACGTTTTGTCTTGAGTTTCCGTTAGAAATCTCATTAGCTTCGTTAGGATCCAGCCAAATTTTGTTCTTTCTGCACTTGAGATCCCGTAAGCCGCTTCTGTAGACGTAGGTTACTCATTTGCTGCTATCCTACAAAGAGAGCTGCGAATAAAACTAGTTTTATGCCCGACACATGGGATCGCTCCACGCGCCCCAGGCTCACCGAGCCCTCCATCACTCTGGGGTCGGCAAATTGGTATCAGACTTGTCTGGGAGGATAGCAGCACTGGCTCGATACATCGGTAGGTCACCATGAGTCATTATAAAGGCCGGGTATGCATTCAATCACCTCCAAACGGTGCTAAATAAGGTCGAATACATGGCCCATCCCTTAGGGATTGATCGACGCCGAGAACTTTACCCTTACCTGTTATCGAACTTATTGCTATATTGCCAATGCACTTCAATAATGCTTACGTGATAAGATTATTAAAGAAATGACTTTGTGTTCCAAGAAAAATCACACCACCATGTCCAAGCTGTAGAGTGGTACACGCCTAGAACGAAATTTTTAAACTCACAGTTCGGAAGTCGTCTTAATCTTTGCAAAAATGTGGCACAATGAGCAAGATACAGTACATCATGACTATTAAAGTTTTCATTGAATTTTACACTTTTATACCCCATCAATGTATTTGCAAGTCTTAATCTTTGCACAAATGTATCAAGCGAAAAAAAAGGGATAAGTTTATGCCACACTCTGTGACGTTTGAACACATTCACCAAAACGCACTGTGTTCGATGGCTTCAGCATAGAATGGTGGTGCCGTGCAGTATGGACGGACTGTATATAACTCTTCACGACTAAAAGATCTCCTTAATATGGGGAGAGACATCGAGTCTTTCCAGCATTAGTGTGTCTTATTCTATTGGCACGGCATTCGCCGTAGGACATATACAGATGAGAAAACTGTTTCGAAAACTTGTTTTGTAAAGGTTTTAGTGTTCAGAAAGTAGCCTTTTAGGGACGAATAGTTGCATGAAAATTTTTGCAACCAAAAAATATTTGGAAGGAAAGATCATGCATTCTGTAGTTGCCATTCATGTATGTATTGGAAAAAAACGAAATCCCCTTGCTCTCAGATTGGTTATCCCGCTTGAATACTTCGGTGACATATCTCCACGAGTAGTAAGAAATAGTTGAAGTAAACCACGAACACTCCCGCGTACTATTCTTCTATACCTTTAAGATGGAATAGGTGTCGAAGATGTGAACTATTGAAGTTAGACATTGTGCTTGCCTGTTAAATTTTACAAAACATCGTTTAAGCGTTCATCGGTGGAGTTCATAGTTCTCCAAGTAGTTGAAGTATCAAGCCATTCATTACTGCATAATAGAGCGCTAGAAGGATCGATGGGTCAAAGAGGGCGCGAATTTTCAGGTTATTTACTTGTTCGGCGCTTTCTCTGAGAGACCCGTACACGACAATGGGTGCAGTTCCCTTATGTTGTTTCCCAAGATGCATGTAAGTGGTGATCTCTGTAATAGGAGAACCGTCGAGTCGAGTCTATTCTTCGCCTTGTAGGTTTTCATTAACTAAACTTTACTTCTATTTATGAGCACTCCAATCCTTTTCCCGCTTTGTTAAGTTAGTTGAGCATATTTCCTCTTTGACTACTATTTCCCGAAACGATGGCGATGTCTTCAGAAAAACGAAAACATTGTAGGAATTTTTTACAATTCGAGATCGATGAAGAAGCTGTTATTCCGTAGCAAAGTGTGGTCTCCATTACTGTGACCAAGCGACAGTGGGTATGCGATCTATGCAGCAGAATTATTCTCAGAACACTGCTTGCACTAGTGGTTGCACTTTATCTGAAGCTGTTCTTGTGAGCAACAGGATACTAATAGTGACATCCATCGTCAAAACGTTCCCATACGAGCGTCCACCACTGGTCTGGCATCCTTTATCTTTGAAAGTAATTTATCGGATCCTGAAGTTGTGCCTACCCTTATGCTTTCTCTCACAATTCGTCCTTCAGAGGAAAAAATCCGGGATGGTTTGTCTCCATCGAGGTTTTCGCGTTTTAGCACCGTGGATTTGGAGCGGAAAAGACCTTTGTGTTAGAAATTCTACAACATGCTGGAAGGTTGTAGCAGTCTCGTATAATTATCGGATCTGGTACCATATTACAAACGCATTGCCTCAGTGGCATTTTTTCAGACCCGTTTTCTTCGAACTGCTTCTGATGGCACCTATAGCGACTTTCAGCATAAGTTTCCAGTTCTTTGCTCCTAGTTTTGAATTATGCCCTGTCTTCTTGATCTGCCAGCAATATGATGAAAGGATTTTTTCGAGAATGTTGCCATCAATTATAGACCACATGGGTTCTTTATTCTTGGGCAATGATATAAATCTAGGTTTATTTGTGACTAGATGGACTCCAAAACTAGCCTAGCTGAAGGTTCCCTCAGTTCTCACCACAAGTGTTTGCTAGCTTTGGTGAATCAGAAGTAGATTTTCCACTTTGCGACGGTTTTGATAGCATAACAGCTTTTCTTCTTGCCATTGGTTTACTCTTAGCTAGGCTCATGTGGAAATATCGAACATGTCGTCAGCTTACGAGGCTCCGCTGGAAATAAACTCTCTGCTGTGCACCATAGTTCTACATCCAGGAAGACCTTACAGCTATGACGAAGAGGTTAAGCACTGGAACGAGAAGGAATGGGAAAGATTATCAGAATTAGGAAGTCACCTTCGTTATATAGAGGTGGATGGATGGATGGTGAAGTTTAACGAACGCGAATTTGAACAGGAAACTAATCTAAAACGGAAGGACTAGCTCACCATTACAACGGCCTCAATCCATGGTGACAATGTTCTCCACTGTGTTGAATTGATGGCATCAACGAAATTATATGCCGGATATTGTGGCGGTTTTAGATAGGTGTATACGAAATAAAACAAGAAACTCCCAAGAAATATTAAACATACACATATGTAGCTGATCTTAAGCAGAATCATAACATTATTTTCTGTCGCAAAATCACTGATAGCATTGGTATTCACTTACAGTCTTAATCACAGACTCACGATTTTCAGCCAGTGAATAGGCGATCATGACGAAAGTTATGACAGTCCATGCCATGAATATCGACGATGGCCATGTGGTTAGTGTTAGCGTGTAAAAGTCGGAATAACTGGCGAGACTGCGAAAGAAATTTGTGGAAGTATTAGTAATAGAATTAATTAGTAATTAGTTAATTGCCAAAAGTAATGGTAATAGTATTACTAATAGAAGGTACAGGTATCGCATGATTGTTAGGACATCGCTTGATTTTTTTCCGAGCATTTCCGCTATTAGATGTTCACATCTAAGGATATGTATCCATATGCATGCTGGTGAATGATGAACAACCGAATTCACCATCACCGTATGAATTTCGACTCACATCTGAAGCTCCGGCACCAAGACAGCGCATCAACAATCTATGTGACAAGGAGGCAATCAGTAGTACTACAGCCGATTTCGTAGGGTTGGTGGTGAGGATGAAATCTTAGAAGAGGAGCACTGTTCAAGTGACTACCCTGACCAGCGATGACGACCACCCATGATGAGGTTGTTCCAGGGGGACCAGCGCACAAAAGGTCACCAAAAGAAAATCGGATGTGGGTGAAACAGCAGCTTGTGCAGGCAGCAGAGTTGAAGAGCTGAAGAAAAATGAACTCGATAACTAGATGTTCATCTGTTAAACGACTTATTTTTTGCAAAGTCTGTTTTTAGCTTTCTCCGCTCAACGAAAATGATCACTTTATTTGTTGCATGGCATTCGGTGATAGGAAGAGGACTCCAAGCAACGACCGACGACTTTCCGCGCAGTAATTTAGTGAAAACGATGAGAGGGGATATTTTCCACGACAAATTTGCAACAGTAGGTAGTAATCCTAGTTTACGATTTCCGGAGGATCTCATTGATCAATTTCCAAGTGGGACCATCATATTGGAGAAATCGATACGATATGTTGAATGGCATTGCATGGCTTAACACCACAGAATTACTACCATCGGAAAAAAAGCCCGAAAGTGTAGATTCGACAACCGGCATCAAAATTCTTCGAAAAGCACCAACTCCATCACACGACCACTTGTTAAACAGCAATTGTTGAAAGGTTAACAGGACTGCCAAACAGGTGCTACCTTTCCTTCAAGAAATTCACCAATTTGTAGGAAACACTCGTTAACAACTAAATTGTTGTTGAAAATTCTGTCAGAAGAACAAATTTTTTCTTGGCTTCGAAAATGGCGGACTATAATGCCTTCGACTTCTATTCCTTGCCCATTCTTTTTTTCATGGCAGGGTATGATGTGAAATATAACTGTAGGGATACTGAGATGCCATGTATCTCAACATCCCTAAGGTTACAACACGTTTAATTCGACCGTGGAAGTTAAGTGCCAGGCTGAGAAACTCACTCGACGATGAGTACGAAAAATCGACATTATTTCCATTAAAATACAATCCATTCTGTCATAGAGAAACTTTAAAAATTTATGCTATCAGATCTCCTTCTGAATAACTGGCATTTTCTTTTGTCTCTTACATGTTGCACTGGAAAAGTGACTTACTTATAGTGCACAAGAGGTATCGTGTCCGTCAAATTCACGGACCTCAATTCGTTGCTGAGTTGTGCAGTGAACACATCAACACTGGACATGATGCATGAGTCGCCAAAGGGTCGGAAAAGAAAAATAAAAGTATTAAGCCATAAATACTGAAGAACAGTAGGTTTTCACTCCTAACGCTATTTAAAAAGGATTTCATGCTGTCATTCACAACATCATTGGCTGTCCATTCATAACTACTCGCACCATAGGTTACTTGACTAGGCGATAGTGCACAATGAGGAAAGGGATACACGGTCGCCTAGCTAACTAATACTGCACGGTAAGGCAGGTGTGAGACGACTATGGTTTGTTAAGTAATAACGTGTGCAGAATGATGGAGGCGCAGAAGACGATAATTGTTTAGTTAGCTAACTCTGAGTGTACAGTGAGTAAAGTAAAGAGCAGACTAGCGCAATTCTCTAATTAACCGCTTAACCCTTTAACTCCTCGTTAACGATAATAGTTTTCAATAGACTAAACTGTTTAAAATCTGCACCTTTGATGAATAGCCGAAAATGTTTCTTAAGGTCTGTAATCTCGTTGAGCATCATATGTTTTTTTTAGAGTTTTCGTGAAGAACTCTCACCATCGGGTCGGTGGGTTTCCAGCACTACGTTTGACATCTCGAGGAATTCAGTCACTAGCGGCCTTTGCCCATCGGTTGTCGTTCATATGCACTATATGTTCGGTGCGACAGTTTGACGTATAAAACAGTGTATTTGAATCTTGATTGTTGACGTAGATCGAAGCTTCGGAGCTCTTCCCTCACTTGTGTGATACAACATGCTCCTAGCATCGTTCTTTAGAATGCGCATTCAATAACGCTAAGTGGTCTATCATTACCATGCTCACGTAGAGCCGAAGTGTCTAACGCACACACGTTAAGACAGGAAGAATCGTAAGAGGAAAAGATTAGCAAAGAGAAGTCCATTCTTTGCTCTCCACAGTACATCCTTGATGCTGTTGAAAGCTTACCGAACTTCTCGATTTCTCAAGCTCTCGAGCCAACTCTCGAGCCAAGTCGTTCATCATATTGCTTTCCCAAACTAGAAAACCGTAGTGGATCATTTAGAGATATTTTTTCCGTTGAATGTGAACGGGGCATACGAAACCAATCCGTTCCTCATGAACATCGTTTTTGTGAGATTTGATCGAAGACCAATCTTTCCACAGGCTCTATCAAAGTCGGCAAGCATACGTTCCGCTTGGCTAATGTTTGGTGTCATAAGGACCAAGTCATCAGCAAAGCGAAGATGGTGTGACTGCCGATCATCAATTTTCACTCCCGTATTATCCCATTCCAATGTTCGCATGACGTTCTGGAGGATGGCGATAAATAATTTTGGCGAGATGGTGTCGCCTTACCTAACTCATCTTTTGACGTCGATGTAAATATCGTCTCAGAATGGTGATGTCTTGGCTGTGAAATTTTTGCACAGCTCACGAAGAATCTTTATGTACTGAGTAGAGACTCCTTGGCTATCGAGGGCTTCCATGACTATTTTTATCTCAATTGCGTCAAAGGCCTTCTTTAAATCGATGAAAGTGAGACAGAGCGGCCTTTTGTACTCTCGCGATACTTTAATGAGTGTTGCTATCGTGTCGATGTGGTTCAACCTTCTACTGAAACCTTTTCGAAGCCCTGCTTACTCGCTTGGTTGTCCTTCCTCTGGTGCTGTCAATGCTGTATAGAATGACTTATATGAAAGGTTGTAGACGACAGATGGTAGGAACATTAAACGATAGATTCCCTCTTATGTTTAGTTAGTTCTGCTTATTATTTGCTTTTTTTCGGCGTGGACAGAGAGGACTACCAGAGGTTAAAAACCTTGACATAATTTCATTCATAATTGGTATAACCGATTTCTAGGCTTCAAAAATGTTGTTGCAACTCGGACAATGAACCAATCGATACCCATATGTTACATTGTTAAAGCGGTTAAGAATCGTACACTTCGCATACTTATAATATCGCCGTTGGTAGAGGCTAGGTAAATATCCAAATGGTTTCACACTGCGACAATCGCGTTGGGTTGAATGGCAATCTGAAAAATGGAAAAAAAATTGTTGGAGATTGGGCATTTTTGCTGCCGTTCGTCAGTTTCATAGCAAAACATGTGCTACACACTTTCATTGCTCTCCGAAGCAATTCGTTATATATATATTATATATATACATATATATATATATATTTACGCGCCTACAAAAACACACATACATACATACATTACATACATACATACATACATACATACATACATACATACACTTGCAACTCCACATGAAGATCCTAAGATTTAAAAATGGGTCGAAAATAATGATTTTGGAGACACACTCAACTACAAATGCATAAATAGAGTAATTTCTTATAAACAGGCTACTATTGGTCGAAAAAATTGTAGATGTTCTCATTCTCATCAATAATGAACAGTCACGTCCATCCACACAACAGGGAGAATTGATTGACTGCAGTGACGATCTAGAAGCATTAGCACGGGGTTCCTCATATAGTAGTAAAGAAAATTCTCGCTAGATTAGTTACGGGGACGCATGCATGGTATTTCTTTCACACCAGCGCTTCAAGTAGAAGTATAATAGTAGTCGTCTAGACAGATATCGATTAGAACAACTACGCTGCTAAGCTGCGCAAAGTCGGATCAATACGTATGTCCTACATTGTGGCTCCTGGCCGTAAAACCAGCTGTGCATTTTATCTCCTAGTGACGCTGAAAGTTGACCTTTTTTCTACTAGAATATGGAGACAGAAACACTTTTGAATTTGTTTTAGATGCATGTACCCACATTAATTTTTAATCGCATATGTTTTTATAACCTTACTGTTGAGGAGTGAAATAAAGAAAAGCTTAGTTTATTAATGTGTTAAATCTTACAAGCTCTGCTCTTCGATCCGACGCAGTGATACCACGGCATATCGGATGAGAAGACGTCGAGTGACTTGAAGAGCACGTCACCCATAATGGCGGTTAAATCGTTGCCGAGTAATAAGCTCACTGCCAGCAGAAGAACGGCGGATACACCAACTCCTGAAATATCGACGGTTAATTGCCTATACTGATAATATCAAATACAGAAAGTTTCTCAAAAAAAATACAGAAGCAAGCAGTCCCACAAATCAATATGTTCGTGTTTAGTAAAAAAAGTTTTTATGCACTCCTTATGGGGCTACAAGGATTCGTCGCCAAAAACACATCTCCTTCTGACCCACACCGTGGTGAAGACCTGCATAGGCCCTTGTAAGGCTACGGCAGGACTCCAGGGAGGACCAAGTTGCACGACCAGCAATAGGCCAGCCTCAGTACACCGCACACTGGGTGCTCCCGTCTATGACGTCATGCGGTGAGACGACCGGGAAGAGGCCAGAAAATTTCGGGTTGCGCTGGACGTCATTGGAACCGGATCTGACGAACACACGCACGACACGCCATGGAAGTTGTCCCTTACTATGCACACATAATTCCAGAACACTCTCCACAGACGCCCTTCTCGTAGTCGCAGATCGCGTTAAATCTCGTATAATCGCATTACAGGAAACAAAGATCAAGAAGACCGACATACGCCAGGTAGACAACGGCATCCTCGTGATCCGTGGAGAAGAGGTCCCGTCACGAAATGTCAGTGGCGTAGGCTTTTCGTCAACCCGTCCATTGTCCATCTCGTCGACTCATACGTGATCCTTTACTCTGGCATAGCCGTCCTCAGTCTTCAACTCTCGCATCATAGGAAGATCACTATCATCAACTGCTACTCATCGACAGACGCAGCTGATGAGTACGAACTAAATGCGTTTCACTGTCAGTTGGAGGAAATTATCCTCAATGATAAAGCATATCATAAATTTGTTTCTGGAGACTTATACGCCAGAATAGGAAAGGTCAACGAGAGCGAATACAGGATCGGAAATTTTGGATTAGGAGAAAGAAATGAGAATGGGAACTGTCTCGCAGGACCCCTGTCAGCAGCACGTCTCTTCCATGGAAACTCGTTTTTCCAGAAGAAAGAAAACCGCCGCTGGACATGGGAGTCTCCCAACGGCATAACTCATGCGGAGATCGACCATATTCTGACAAGCAGAAGATGGTGCCTACTTGACACATCGGTAGCCCCGTAATTCTGTACTGGTTCCGATCACCCCCTTCTTCGCGCGAAGATTCGATTCAGCCGCAAGTTGGAAAAGAACTTTCTTCATCGACCGCGAGGTAAAAGTTCAGCTGTATACGACGAGAACCTTCTGAACGAAGTCCTGTCCAAGCGTGACTGGCGGATTAAAGAAGACACGACCGAAGACTACGAGCTGCTTGTCGAAGGACTGAAAAGCTGTGCCGAATTCGCCTCAGTTCCTCAAGCAAGAAGATCGGATCGCATCTTCATCACTACTACGGAGTTGCTCGAAAAGAAAAGGAAACTGAAACTTGATCCTACTGCAACACGTTTAACATGACTAGTAATAAATGCCAGCTGCAGAAGAGCTTTGCAGGAAGATCTACAACGGCATAAGCAGAAGAAAATACTGGAAGCAGCAAAGAAAAGAAGCAGTCTGAAAAAATGCCGTCGATACTTGTGTGATTATAATGTTCCGCTGTTAGTCCTGATGAACGAAGACGGGATCGTCAAAAACACCCGTCATGACATGGAATTAATAGCGGAAACGTTCTACACCAACCATTTCCGTACCACAATCCCCGTCCCTGGCCCTAATATTCTCTCTGGAGAAAAACCAGCTGGAATTCTTCCGTCGGAGGTTCGAATTGCGATCGAAAGCATGAAAAGAGGCATAGTTCCACGACCTGACAATATTACCACCGACTCTCTTAGAGCTGGAAACCGTAATTTACGTGTACTTCTCGCAAACCATATGACAGCCAATCTCCGAAAGGAAAAAATTCCAGACCAGTGGAGAACGCCAAGCACGGTCATCCTACCTAAGGTGACCGAAGAGATCTTGGTAACTCATCCGATATGCTTATTGAGTGTCCTCTACATGCTCTTTACGAAGATTATTTTCTCGCGCATATCAAGGACATTGGATGAGGCGCAACCAGCCGAG